AAAAAAACGTTACAGGAAATGAACTTACCTTCAGGAAGTAATAGTATCTCACAAAGCCTTCGAAACCTTTGATAGAGGACGAAGGACAACCCAACAAATTTCAGTAGCTGCATTGATATCGCCGCGTTCACCATCCCATAAGTAATGCCATTAAACATCGGGGCAGATTCTTCGCAACTGTGCACATACATACACGTACACCCACACACATACACTCACTATTATAATTTCTTCCTTTTGATTGAGCGTTTGAGCTTATTTAATAAAGAAAAAAAGAATAGAGAAAATATAATAAAAATACACACGATTCAAAAAATAAAAATATTACATTAGAAGTTAAGAATTAATACGTCTGTCTAATAGAATTTGATACAAACACTAGAAAAAAAAATAATCAAAATAACTTGTGTAATATATTGAATTGGCAAGAAAGTAATTTCGGTTTTCTTTATATATTTATATTATATATTATATTATTATATATATTTACATTATATTATATTATATTATACTATATTACATTATATCCTATATATACATATATATAATATTAATTATATATATATATGTATATATAATATTAAATAATATTATTATATATATATACTACCGAAATTACTTTCTTGCCAACCCAATAAAAGTATTTAAATACGTACAAGAAATGATTTATATATGTATATTATAATAAATTATTAAAAAATGCATTGTGTCACAACTGTCAAGAAATATTCACGGTTAATTTATATATCTATATTTATTTCTATATATTAACTTTATCTTATATCGTACAATCTTATCACTCATATTAAAAATCATTAAACACGCTAATCATTTAACGTTGATTTAAATACGCATTAAAACGTAGCTTAAATTGTCGATTAACGAATAAAATTAAAAAAAAAAATAATTAATTAAAATAAAAATAAAAAGAAAAAGAAAAAAAAAGAAAGAAAGAAAGAAGAAAAAAGTAAAAAAGAAAGTAAAGAAAAAAACAACAAAAATGATAATGTTGCTAGTAATTTTCTAGCCATGAAACGTCATAGAGCATCAAAATATCGTAAGAAAAGGGTTTTCCCGAGGATATCTTACCAGTAACTCGTATATCCAACGGCAAACCAAACCAAGAAAGTAATTAAGACTAAAGCTTGACATTTGCGACGTGCATTATTGCTTTTGGTTGAACGTTCATTAAATCTGATAGTACGATCGAAGTTTCGTAATTGGACAAAGGCAGCACGAATTTTCCCATTCCAGACAATCGAAAGAACAGCATCGGTAAAAAGACAAATGTAGGATAGACTTGTTCTCGCAAGAGTCAACAAAAAGCTCTTGTATTCTACTTCGGTATCAATGATTATTAAATAGATACCGATAATACAGGTACTCAAATATATGGACATCCATAAAAACGTATATATCATGCCACGTTTAGTCACCAAAATATCTTCATCGGTTATAACGTGTGGTCCACATCCAAAAATTCTCGACGCTTGTAGAAATGGTTTTATATCTTGTGTCAATCCTACCATTCTTCCAGATTCAACAATGTTCTCTCTTACGAAACGTATTCTGAAAAATTCATATAATAAGATAATAATAATTCCAATACATGAATAGTTCTTGAATAATTAAATATTTTCATAATATTAAATAAGAAAAATAATAGTTTAACAAAAGTGTTAGTACGATAAAAAGGATAGTTTCTAATACGCTATTAAACTAGAAATGAAGTTATTAACTTGTTTGTTTTTTTTTTGTTTTTTCTCTATTGATCTCAAAACAAAACGATTTTTATCTATTTTACGTATATAATGTACAGTAATTTATAAATAATATAAAAAAAAGAAAAATATGAAGATAACGATGTGAAATATAAGCGTATAAAAGTGAATTTATTATTAATAAATTATACGTAAAATATGCATACATTTATTATACCGTTCTATTAACGATCTCATACATTTTTATGAACTTTATAATCGTATTAATAAAAAAAAATTCAAATAGAAGAAAATTCGGATACTTCGATACAGATAAGAAGAACTGTTGTAAGCCGGAAGTAAATCAGCGATCATGTTTTCTTTCAGACGTACTCGAGTCCATCGTTGGACATCGTCAAAAATTAATGAAAATTCGAGCTTGATAAGAAACATTGTGGATACCATGTAGACTATCTTTGGACATGTACAACGAACAGTTAGAATGATTTACGAGTAGGAAGATCGAGCACCGTTCTTTTCTTTCATCCGATCGTATTTCTTTCATCGTTAACGCGTAATGTTACTGACTTAAGGGGCTATAGAAGTTTCAACGACCGTGAAAGTGTCCGTGTATTTTTTTTTCTTTTTTTTTTTTTTTTTATTGAAAATAATCGCGAAAATAAATTTCAAATAATAGCTTATATAATTTCTTTTCATTTTCTTATTTTTTTTTTTTTTTTACATATTACAACAATAATTTTGACAGTACTGAAATGCAGAGGATAATGAAACGTGTCCGAGATCCAATGGGTTCGGATTAAACTCTCTTTTCTGGTATGAATGAATGGCAGTCATTTTTTTCAGGTTGCAGTAATGTCCTGAAAAAAAAAAAGGGAAAATATCTTCGAGAATAAAAATTGCATTTTTTCCGCAAACTTTTAAAATGAAGGTTTTACAAATTCATTGATGAGACAAAGCGTCCAAAAAATCAATTGGAAAAGTGACAAAAGCGAAAATTGAATCAAAGCCTTTTTTTAAACCAGAAAAATGTACTATTGATCAATGTTACCTTTATAAAGTGATTCTCTTTCCTTTCTTCCTGTTCTCTTGATTGAACTTTTACACTTGTGGCAAATAATGGAATTTCACAATTACAAATTGTACGCATATTTAACGTAGTATATTTATCATTCAGTGTTTGAAAATTAATTTTGTAAACAATTACGTAGTAATATAAATCAATCTTGAAATGAAATGTTGAAACTTCTACAGGTAAATTTAGTTAATGATACGATCACTCACTTTCGACGACGCAAAGACTACTACTACAAAACTAAAACTACCTATTGCTCTACACCTTGAATATACCGAAGCTTCCTTCTCCCATCCTATAACCTTTCTAACAAAACAGTTTCAAAAATATCACGTTTCTCAGTCTTTACCTCGAGGACGAAGACTTCGTTGTCTTCTTTAAACGGGGTTAGATAAATAATATAAGCAAGCGTTAAAGGATCGAAACGATGAAACACTTTGAAATCTATGATACGAATCTTCAGTCAAATAAATATGTACATACGTATCAGGAATAGCAAATAGAGGAAGGTTTCAATAACCAATAACGAAGGTTTTTATCATCTATAAAAGGGACAACTACTAAGTCGAAGTATAATGCTATGAAAATATAAAGATAAAAATGTCAAGGGAAACAGCAGCTGTTGATCGTAAATCGTCACTATGTAAAAATAATGTTTCTTTTCGAAGCAATTACAATTACAAGTGGCACGCGATATCTATAGTTATAAAGTGCATATTAAATCAACCTTGACCCATCTTTAATTTTATCATCCTTCGATGATCATAAAATTTACACTAATTGCAAAATATTCAATGCACACAATACATTTTTCTATTTTTTATTTTAAAATTAATACAAGAAATAGAATTATTACGTATGTTTTTTTGTTTTTTTTTTGTTTTTTTTTTTTTTATCACTGTTAACATTACTGGGGAAGGTGACTTTATAACGACTTGACAAACAATTTCAAATCTAAGATTAAATAATAAAATATTTTTTCTCGATAAATGGACGAATAATCACATCGAGATCATCACATATTTGATAAATTTCTTCGAAACAATATTGTCATAACGCATATACCTCAAATTACTTACTTTCATTTAAAAGATCACATCAGAGATATCTTTTATGATGAATAGGTAAATGCATACGCATTAAGTATAAAATTAATGAATTTGATCAAGTAGAAGATTAAAAGAAACAACACTTTTGAAAAATCAAAGTATATTAAAATTATTATAAATTAATATAGACATTTTTAAAACTCTCTCAATAATGTAAAAATGTAATATTATTTCAATTATTACATACGTTTATATAATTTGAAATTTCAAAAAAAGTACATAGACCGCGCCGGATAAAAACGAAGCACGCGATTGGTTCGCCCTCCTTGAATCAACCAATCATCTTACAATGCCACGTAGCACTAACCTAACATATAACAGCACCAAAATGAAAGACGTAACACAAACTAGATTAGCTAACTATACTAAAATATAACGAAGAACATAGGCTATCAGGATGATAAAATAAATGTGTTATGTGTAGTGCTATCCATTATATCAGTTGATGATTATAATCCTTTAAAGGACCAATGGGATCCTTCGAAAATTAGTGACGTTTTCGTAATTGACAGTAAGAACGACTGGGGGCGTTTGTTGGGCCATTGCACCATACAATACCATTAGACTATTCGCTGATGTATGTTCGCGTCGGGAAAGAAAAAACATTGTTTTGAAGTCTTATAAAGTGAGAAGTCATTAAGTGAAATAAACGCAGAAACAATGACGTCCCGTCTTGAGAAAGAACGTGCCAAACAAATTCAAGACAAATGTCAAAATCTCTTAAATCAAATGTTAAGAGACGAGGACAACAAGTACTGTGTTGACTGCGATGCAAAAGGTTCGTTTGTCGTCAAGAATTTTTTTGGAAAATATTGTACAAGTTAAAAACCCGAAATCCTTATTCCTTTACAGTTTTTACTTTCATTTTGTTAATTTATGAATACTCATTAATCTAATGAAGTTTCTATTATCGAAATCATCGATTTCATTAGTTTTCTTCGACCTAGTTCCGTGTTCGCTTATTCAAGACGAATTATGGATTTTTAATTTCTTCCTTACAAACTTACTAATTGACAGTGATAACGCGATAATGTCATATCAAATTATCTTAATGTAAAAATCAAAAAAGGTTTTATTTATTATTATTAAGATTATAGTCCAATGGTTATTAAATTTTTTTAATGTTGACGTCTATCAAAATTATTGTGACACTGTCAGTTAAGCACATACACGAACGCGCATGACACACACGCACACACACAACATATTTTCTTTGATTGTAGAAAGATATTACATGAATGCAATGATTAAAATTTTATATTCTTCTTTATATACTTTTTATATTGTTGTTTACCCTAACTAATTAAAGTATACATTGCGTACGACACATTTTTGGGCATTCCAAAAAAATAAAAACAAAATCGAGATATCTCGTCACTCGTATGTAATGTGTTCAAATTATCACAATATCTATATTACTATATTACAATAAAATTAAAAATGTGTGTGCATTGTCATTTGTATCTTTCCAGGGCCAAGATGGGCCAGTTGGAATTTAGGTATATTCTTATGTATTCGTTGTGCTGGAATACATAGAAATCTTGGAGTTCATATAAGCAAAGTTAAGTCTGTTAACTTAGATACATGGACACCCGAACAAGTTGTGGTATGCTTATAATTTTTATTTTCTAATATAAATGTGTTCCCAATTTATTACATTTTCAATTTGTAATTTGTAATGTCTATTTTTACAGAGTCTACAACAAATGGGAAATTCACGAGCACGTGCAGTCTACGAAGCTAATCTCCCAGATAGTTTTCGAAGACCTCAAACGGATTGCAGTTTAGAAAGTTTTATACGTGCAAAATATGAACATAAAAAATATATTGCAAGAGAATGGGTACCGCCCCCTTTACCAAAGGTCAAATATAATAATAGATGTACTTAAATAATAGTAAACTTGACATGAATTCTTTCATTAGTATATATAAAACTAGAAAAATATTTTCTTAATACTATTTTTAACATTTTATTATCACAAATAGGTTAATTGGGATAAGGAACTTGAGGAAGAAGCGGAAAAGCAACGCAAACGAAAAAAAGAAGGATCAAAGTCCAGCACTAATCAGGCTGTACTGCCACCTGTAAAAAAACCAGAAGTAGTGCCACAGTTGCCAAAACCATTAAGTTCTGTCAGTCCAAAATTAGGAAGAACAAGTAACACTGCAACGCTAGATCTATTAGGTCTTGGTAAGTTAATTTATTTAATAAAATGCATATATGTATAATATTTGTTCAAATTTTTATCTTTAGATGCTCCAGCTACCAATCAACCAAGTGCAAATGGATCTGGAGATGATATTTTTTCCTCATTTTTATCTGCACCACCAACATCTGCATCTACGACTGATAATAATACTACAGTTGAAGCAACAAATAAAAGTGAAGAAGAAAACTTCTTCGACCAGCCAATTCCGTTATCTCAAGAAAAAAGTAAAATGACTAAAGACAGTATTTTAGCATTATATGGTACACCAAACCCTCAACAACAACAAATATATGGAGTTTCTGGTACTGTCAAATTCTTTTGAATTTACACATATATATATTATATATATATATTAGAAATAATATAAAATTTAATCTCTTTAAACTATACTTGATTCTAGGTGGTATGTACAATCAACAATCTTTACAATATAAGCAACAAGTACCAGGTGTAGTTGCTTATGGCCAACAACAAAGCAGTTTTCAAAATCCACAAAGTTCCTTCAATCAATTAAATCATATGCCAACTCAAATGACTGTACCAAGTCAAATACCAATCAATCAAACTCAAATTACACAAAATCCTTCTTCAATAGGAGGAGTAGTAACTAATCCTTTAGGAAATTGTGTACATATGAGTCAAATTAATCGAATGAATGGTGTACCAAACACTGGTGTTGCAATGCAGTCTCAAATGGTATCCAAATAAAATAATAACTTACATTCTGTATTAAATGAACAATATAATTAATATATACTTTGTCATAGATGATGCAAATAGGACAAACTAATAATGGATGGAGTGGTATGTTGACGCAGAATATTCAACCAGCACCTGGAAATAATCCATTTTTTAATTTGACAACTCAACAACAGCAATCTACTGCAGCTTTTGTTACTCAAGTACATACAGATTATAAATAATCTATAATATTTAAAAGGAACAACAAAAAATTATTTAATTATATAATATTACAGTTGCCGCAGCAAATGTCACAGATGTCTTTAAGTGGAATGAATTTTTCAACTACTGCAGGAAAATCAAGTAATACTGCATTACCTGGACAAACTCTTTCTACTAACTTATGGCAGTAAAAATTATGGTGGATATGATTAGTTGATTGACTATTTCATTCAGTGTTATATATTAGTGTCAACTGTTTGTTACCCAGCAAATAATATTTCCATATTAGAGATCGGAAATTTTTGTTGGGAAATAACGGAATGAAGACACAAATAAAAAAACACTACTCGAGTATTAAATAATGTGAAAAGCAATCCCTGTATGAAAGAAGTACTGCGAGTTACTATATTTTTCTTCAGGAGCTTTATCAGCTTCTAGTATTGTTGAAAGTACAGGAGATGAAAATAAAGGTGAACGTTAGACTGTTTGTGAAGAGTTATTCATGCTGTTTGAAACTTGTGTAGTTAAACTAAGCAATTATATTGTAAAATTGAAGATTTTAATAATTGGGACTTAGTTTTCATGCTTCTGGGTCCACTCTTGATATAACAAAAAAACTGCATCCAAACAAATAAGTACAAGTATTCGCGGTACAATAAATGTACTGTAAGATGTTATTTATATCAGATATGACTTGAAATCATTTTTTCAAATATTTCTTTAAATGCTAAATTCTTTGAAATAAATCATGCATTTATTATACATCGAAATACTTGAAACAAAATAATTATTGCCTAAATAATTATAACTAATATGGTTAAATTAAAGTTTTTTATATTCTTTTTGTGTGTGCGCAGAATACAAAGGTTGAAAATCTAAATTATATCCAATGTGTAAATTTTCACCTTTTTTTCTCTCTCTCTCTATATATATATATATATATTATAATATTGAATTTTATTTTAACATTTCATGGTTCGACAAAATTATTATATTAGAACCAAACTTTAAATTAAAATGACAAATTCTGAAATATCATAAGTGATATTTAAAATGCAGAAAAGTAGTGCAATATCTATGAGAAAAAGAATATATTGTGTATAAATGGCTTCTTTTAAAAAAAAAAAAGTACTTGTTCTTTTATTATAACGATACATTATAAATGTAATTCATATGTTAGTTTCAAATTAAGTCAAATATTTTTACAGGTATTTTATAGTAAAAGTAATAATTTATATAAACTGAATGCCATATACTCATGGCAGTAAATCATTTCAAGCTTATTTTTGCATAATAAAAAATATATTCTAATATTCGATAATAAGTCACATAAATAATATTTATTATATTCATACTTTTTCACGTATACAGAATAACTGGTGATACAACTAAGTAATAGCCTGGGAGCCAGTGACATTTTTTTAACCCTGACCATAATTTGTAAAATGTTAAATTTAGTTGTGCTGTAAAGCATAGTAACGGGGCCAACGGGAGCACCGAAAACACGTTAAAATATTTTTAAGTTTCAGTCATTTTAACCCGGCTGAAATTCATACAGTTGATGAGTTCATTGAGTTGTTTTTTTTTTTTTTATCATTTCTTAAAATTAATTGGCGACTGTTATTATAAGCAACTTTGCAGCTTTTATGGCAAAAACTATCTATATTTGATGGAAAATCATTCAGCTTCTTCACCATGTCAACATCATTACTTAATTACGCTACTTCTTTCACCGTATCGCGTCCTTTATTTAGTACTTCTTGGTTTCGTAACGTCATCGTCAATGTTACTTGTGGTTGTCTCATCATCCTCTCTTTCAACAGCTTCCTCACTTTCAGAATTCCTTACATCTTGAAAAATAATTCCCACGGTATCGTGAAGGGTGTCTGCCCGATGTTGTATCAACAAAGCGATACCAGTGTGTAATCCCGGTACTTGTGCAATGTCATCTGGACAAATGTCCGAAGCTTCGTAAGAAGAAAAAATTTTATTGTAAATCATATTGTATTGATTTACAACATTAACTAATTTTGTATTGTTTGTTAAACTCTTCAAAGTCATGCCAAGGTAGATATGTTTAGAACATTTTATTCGGCCATTTGTTACACCATAAATAAGATCTTCTGAATAGGATTTAGCTAATCTCACAGTTCTTTGATGATGTCTTCGTCGATAGCTTACGCCGGATAAAACTTTTTTATAAAATTTAATCAAAAACTCAGAAACATCACACTCGCCCTGTATCAATTTGTTTATTTTTATATTATCTGCCAACTTACGATGTACAATGTTACGTAGCCGTAGCCGTATATGGTATCACAAAAGTTTGATCTTTACAATTTATGAAATTGATTTTTTTACGAAATTTTTTTAACAATCGTTCTCTTAAATGATATTGCTTAAAAGTATAATCTGAAATATCTTCAGTGTGCTTTTCTAAATGATCAATAAACAAGTCATTCAAAAATTTTAAAGAAATAGTGTTTTGTCCATCGATGATTTTTTCCAGGACAAATTGTTCAACGACTTCATACGCCTCTGCACGAACATCTCTTGTAAAATGCCAATCTGTCTTTTCTAGATCATTTCTTAAAATTGATTGACGACTGTCATTATAAGCAACTTTGCAACTCTTATGGTAAAGTCTATCTATATAACCATCTATATCCGATGGAAAATCATTCAGTTTCTTCACCATGTCAACATCGTTACTTAATTGTGCGACTTTTTTCACCGTATCGTATCCTAATTTAGTAAACACAGATAATTTTTCCTCGCTGCCTTTTATTTTTTTTCTAATTTTACCACAATAAAAACAAGTCATGTGTTTTACATTGCTATCATCAGCAATTCTCACCTTAACATCTATACAATTCTTCGTTAATTTCTTCAGAATTGCTCGCAAATCTTCGACAACTTCGTCAATATATTCACCGGAAAATTTGTACTCGCCAATTGTATTTTCCATTGGAACATCTTGAACGACTTCTTTTATTTTAGTTTTATCATTTAGATTTCCAATAATATGCCTGAAAAATATTTTTATGTGTGTGTGTGTGAATAAATTTATTTTTTATAAACTTATACAAAATCAATAATTTATATTGATATACATACTGCCAAGTTAAATCATTCACTGCTTGTGATACGGAAAGTATATGAGAATCAGTATTTGTGACAGAATCGTCGCTCTGATTTTCATCATGTTCTCTGAAAAAAGAATACAAGTTGAAGAATGCATACTTAATTAAATATGTATTTTATTTTCTTTATTTCAATTTTGGATAACGAGACCAAAGTGAGAGAGAGAATATGTTTCTATTGAAAGAATAAACATTGTGTCAACGTTTCGACACCATTCTCTGGTGTCCTTTTCAAGGCTTAATGTCAAGTACGTTATAAAGTAATTATAACGTGTCAAAACTTATAAAACTACTTTAAACTTGAAATATCGGCAAAAATTAACTGAAGTTTTACAGAGCGTCAGCATGTTCCGAAAGGAAACAACAAATATTTGTTTCCCTTCGCTCTGTAAAACTTCGGTTAATTTTGAATAAAAACATATTCACTCAAATCAACTTGGGAAACCAAAAATTTATTTATTATATACGTAGTATTATTTGCTTTTGTAGAAAAGAAATAATTGATAATAATTAATATTTACGTACTGTGATGTCGAAGGAGACGATTCTACTGTTGGTTCTGATGTAGACACTCTGTATTTTGGAGGCAAAGCCGTAAAACGTTTGTAGCAATCAGTGTGATATCCATAAAATTCATTCAGTTCTTCAGGTATCACAACATTATTATTAATTAACTTGTTCTCTTGGCGAATTTTTAAAACTTCCTTACATTTGCACAATGTCTTTTCTTTAAAAGTTGTCAATTTTCCATTACTTTTTTTACAAATAATACAAATTGGTTTAATGTTAGACATTTTTAGATTGGCTCTAACACCACTTAATAATACGTTGTTTCTAGTTATTTTATCCCGGTTGAAACTTATTATAAATGATAGTCTATATTATTATATAAATATAAAAAGTCGTCAGAGAGAGCCGGCTGTACGTCGGTGGAAAACCCATCAGCTGATACACAAAAGAGACCGGGCGGCCAGCATACCTTTTAATGTGTCAGCTGACTGCTTTTCCACCGACATACAGCCAACTGACGATTTTTTTTATTTAAAAAAAAATTTAAATAATTATATTAACTATCAACTCTATGAATTTCAGGCAGGTTAATATGACTGAAATTCAAAAATTTGTTGACATGTTCGGTCGTACCGCTACAATCACACTGATCGTCATGCCGCCCTAGTGGCAGAAATAAGTATTAATTATTTCTTACATTTTTTTCTCCTGTGTTTCTACCATAGAAAAAATCTATCTCTATGGATAAATCATTTGACAGAGATCTAACAATGACTTAATTGCCAACCCAATATATAAATAAAAATTAATTATTCTCAAATTTAAATAAAATTTTATATAATATTTTAACGAAATTTTTTAATACTATATTACTTACATTTAAAAAAATAATATTTATTCTATGAAAAAATGTATGACTATCCAAGTTTTTATAAGCCAATCAGAACACCGTAATGCTTATATGTTACTATTGATTAGAATCGTTTCATAAGAATAAGGCTTTAGGTTTTAAACGGAAACTTCCATCTTAACTACATAATCAAACAGTTCTTCCTCTTTCTTAAAACGCCTTTAAGGGGTACACGAGGCAAAAGTTGGCTGTTACTATTTTGTAAAACATTTCCAAGTTAATCCATTAAGCACGTGCTATTAAACATGGACAAGCCAGTCGTATTAGCCAGAGTAATTAAAGTATTGGGTCGTACTGGTTCACAAGGACAGTGTACCCAAGTAAAAGTTGAATTTCTGGGTGAACAAAACAGACAAATCATCAGAAATGTGAAAGGACCGGTACGAGAAGGTGATCTCCTAACCTTATTGGAATCGGAGAGAGAAGCTAGAAGACTACGATGAAGAATTTAATCTTTATATTAAATGTAATATAAAAGGATTACCAAATATGAAATCACATCATTCCAATACTCCTCTTTTGAAGTGGATTATCAATCTAACTGTCACTGGAAGAAATCTAATTGTAATAACTACTGGAAAGTAATAGATCAATGAGATGGATGGATTGATCTAACTTTATGTTCAACTACATTCACACTATGAATTCTGTAATAAATCTTATCTGGTAATCATCAATATAAAGTGTTATTTATTTTTGTTTCCTATTTTTAATTTCTAACATTTAAGATTACTATGTAACATAGTCAAAAAAAAAAAAAAGATATATTATTACACACATGAGGATGTCTATATAACATATTTTATTCTATAATAATGTTAAATTGAGGTAATGTATTATTTTGACCAAAAGCAATTAATAATAAAAAAAAAAAAGCAGTTTTTCTTTTAAGAAGAAAATTCATTACTCTTATAGTTAAAAAAAACAAAATAATTAACTATACAATTCACTAATTATATTAATGTATTTACAGTGTAAAAATGAAAAATCGTTTACAAGTATATACAAGTACAAGTACACTCCAGTTATACAAAATGATAGAAATAACGTTTGAAATATCATTACTTATAACATAAAAAAATCTTAACATTTTTAAAAAAATAAATAGGTATATATATCTTCTCTTAATCTTATATTCAAATGGTAATATTATTTTGTAAACAAAATATGTTATATCCTTCTACGTTTTAATGGTGGTGTATCACGTGGACTGGAAGAAGCTTTGGATGAACTATCAACGCTTTGTCTAGTTGGTCTCTTTGGACCTCTTTTTAAACTTTCACGACTTGAATCAGAATCCTTGCGTTCTTTTTTTACATTTGATGCTTAAAATAGAAAATAATATATACATGATAAAATTGAGAGTAAAACATTTTTAAAAAAATTCAAATTTATAGCTTGAGAATAGTTCTAAAAGTACCAATTTCTTCCATTTCATCCTTCCCTTTAGATCTGCCTTTAGAAAGTTTATGTTCTTTTCTTGAATCTTTCATATCTCTTAATTTATCTTTTTTTATATCTATTTCTTTAACATATTTCTTAATGTCTTCCTTTTTCTTTTCAAGATCTTTGGATCCTTTGATATCGCGTAACGCAGTTTCTTTTTTAAATGACTCCCTTATATCTTTTTCTTTTTTTATTTCTTTATATTTATCTCTTTGTTCTTTGAATTTGCTTTCTTGCTCCTCCTTTTTCCTCAGTTTTAATGATCCCAAATATTCTGATTCGGGAAGTGAAAAATCCATTTCATGACTTGGAAATGGCAAATCTTCCATTTCATCCTATTTGTATTAAAGAAAATTCAATACAAAATTAATAACAATAAGTTATAGAATTAAATATTTTAATAATAACATCTACAAAATTATCTATAAAATATTATAACTTACTAGAGCCATAAGATCGTACATTGATTCTAAATGGTCCCAAATTGTTTTCAACGAAACATTTTTATGAATAGCACCACGAAATTTTTCTCGTATACATATCATGTGAAAATATTTGTTGATACCTAAAAAATATCATACTTTACTACTTTAATATCATTATCTGTAATATCTATCATATTTTAATACATTTAAAAGAAAAGATTCGCACGTAAATACAAATTATAAGGTAACAATAATAAAACGGGTTAAGGTTAAGGCTATAAAGGTTAACGAACATAACCTTAATTTATTTATTTATTTATTCTTACCAACTGGTTTATGACCATTCATAGCGAAAAAAAGATTAATTTCATTTTCTACATTCCATTCTATTTCATCAGTAGATTCTGCAGACTTTTCTTTAACAGCCATTGTAAAAATAATTCAAATTAAATTACTAATAGTCACTTCTGAAACACACAATACACAAGTTGAGACGCCATTGATTTTATTGTAATATTATGGATAATATTAAAGAAAATTTATGGTTAATGAAATCATTGATAAATACATAATGGTAATATTCATATTCCATTGAATAAAATATTTTTATGATTTTTCAAGAAATTTATAAAATGTTCTAAATTTGTTATAAAATTTTGACAAACGCATGTTTTCGTGATGCGCGTGGACATGATGAAAACTGATTGGTTATGAATTTACTAATATGGCATAAAAATTTTATTGTCTTAGCACGTGACAAAATTATTTATGAAGTATTCCAAAGTATATACGTGTAATAATTAGAAAATCATTATTTGTTTGTCACGCATTGTCTTATTATTACATATTTTGGTATGTACTTAGTTTTTCATTTTTAATAATAAATATAAACATAAACATATATATATATAAATATTTTTCTTAAAAATTTGTACAAAATTCTTATAATTATTTCTTTGGAAAAAGTAACAAAACTCTTGTTTTATTTTCTACTTACACTTTAATACAAATGTGATTTATCAACAAATTTATATGATATTTATTATATTATATTTTTTCCATTTCAGGTAAAATGCTTATTTATTAAAAATTTTAACATGTTCTACATTTTGTATTAAATTAACATTATTATATATATCTATATATTAATAAAATATATTTAAAGATTATAAATGTTAAAAAAGAAATAATAAACATTCGTAAATATGGAGAAAAATATAGATGACATATGCAATGCTATTGATAAACTTGTTTTACGTAATTTGGAATTAATCGAGGAAAAAGTTTCTACCAATGTTCAAATGGAATTACTACTTCGTTCTGGACATATAGAATTAGCTAAAGCAAGATATATCAGTGGCAAAGAAAACGTTAGTATTCTCCAAATTCCAGTTAATATGGAGAATATATCATCCCTATTTGAACTTGAATCTAAGTTTACAGAAGAATCGGATGGTAAAACATCTTCTTTCGACATTAGTCTAAGAAAAGAAAATGAATTCAACGAAGATATTCAAAATCCTATCAAATGGTTTGGTGTTTTGGTTCCACGAAATTTAAGAACTGCTCAAAAATATTTTCAAGAATCAGTATACCTTGCTGCAAAAGTAGCAAACATACATTGCGAATTAGATTCTATTGCAAATAAATTGAAAGCTTTGTATCTATTGAAAAATGCATTTTCTAAACAAACGGAATAATGTTATTGAAGAGATAAGTGTATAAATTGTTTAATAGTATGTTGTAATCATAATTTTATCAATATATATATATACACATTTTATACTTAAACAATATTAATAATGTAACCTTAAAAAAAAAAAAAAATAGTAAAAATATATAATTACTTAATTAATTTGAATCACGAAAAATATGCATTTCAAATATCACACTTATAAAAAGTTAACATCTATTAGATATTAATTTGTTACATAAACTAATAGGTGTAATTACATTTATTTTTATAAGTATACATATAATCTATAATAATTAAAGTTATTTTATTAATTTCATTGTAAATAGATTACTGCCAAATTTTTCATAAAATATAAATAACATTATTTATAATCTTTAATTATTTCTTTATCGCAAGATATATAAGGCAACAGCATTATTAATCATCAACTGTGTGAATAGAAAATTTTTACATTGATTGAGAAATTTATTTTTTATCATAATTAAATTAATTATTTCTTTTAAATTAACGTATTTCTTTTTCATTTTAAAATGCATATATACTAATACTTATTATTAATTCAGTCGTATATTTCTGAATCTTCACCCATTAATTTCCAAAAAGCAGTGACTAATTTCTCTGCTGTTAGACGTCTTTCATTTGTAGGCAAAGAAGCTGCATGTTCTTTCATTGTCATTAAATGTACAAATAAATCACTAAAGTGTGTATCTTCATCATCCATCATGGCATCTATTAAATATTTATTCAATATTTTAATTCAAATATATTCTAATTATATTATAAATAAACTAGAATAATTATAAATATTACCAAAAATAGTTGCACCATTAGGGTATTCCGTTGGATTATGAGTTAGTTGAATATTTTCTATTTTATTTGTTACTTGATCTAAATTTGATTCTTTTTCATCAACATTAGAAGGTTTTCCTATAATAATTATATATACATCATAAAATTGCAATCAATGTTAACAAATTTGCGACTGGTATTATTCAGGCAAGATGTTTAGTTGGATAACTATCTTATATATATAAGATAATTTAAAATATAAGATTTATTACAAAATTAAGAAATATTTAAATTTACAAGTTTAATAAGAAAATATCATAAAAATAAATATTTTACAGTAAAACAAAACTGAGCAAGCAAACAAATGAACAATTAAAATTTAATATTGAATTGCATACGATTACGTTACCAACGTTTAATAATATATTTTAAAATGACGTTAAACTACGTCATTGATATTCAACTAAAGAATTTAAGATGACATAACATTACATTACCTGTTTCAAATTTGTTAATTGTGTATTTCTATGAATACATATGTATTTACCTTTTAATAAAATATTTGGCCATATATGCGCATGTAGAGCTTCAATAATTCTTTCAATTCCATATGTATTATGTTCTGAGTCATATTGTAAATTTTCTGTGGAATCTGATTCAAGCAGTTCAACTAATTCAAATTTTTTATTTATGCACCATGTAATTACTGTAATGCATTATAAAAACACATAATATTAAACTGTATCAATGAAATTAAAAAGTAATTTTATACGCTCTTACTTTTATCTTTAACATCCACATTTGATATTGCATTGCATGTAAATAATAATACATCGGCTTCAGAGAGGGAAGAGATTAAGGATGACCATTGATCTAAATTTTGTTCTGCATTATCCTAAGATAATCAGGGTTACAAAATTATTTTGATAATTTTATTGACCCTATTGTAGAGAGTGTATCATGAAAACTTAATGTCTTACAGCTTGTGGATCATGATACAAAATTAATGCTTGTATTCCTTCTGTTGGTATGTTGATATGTGGATTTTCTGTTGCGCATAATAATATCTGTGATGTATAATATTTATTATTGATATTCCATAAATAATAGTCTATATCGTCTTCATGTGAATGCCTTGATATTTGTTCCTTTCCTATTTCTATATTAAATTAACATTAGAAATAAATATGTGTCATATAAAAGAAAAAAAACATCAAAAGAACTAATAATATATATATACACTTTTATCATTACTTACTTTGAGCAATTTCAGTAGCTTTACCACACACTGTACTTATGATCAAAACACGTGGAAGATTATCCATCTTTTGAAATATTAAACAAATAATAATTTACTACTTTGAATATGAATCCGCTTGCATGAACACTGAGTAGATTGAGTAGCTTAGTGGTTATGTTGCAATTGTAACATTGACTCACCCTACTACAGCGCACTCTGGACTAAAACTTTATTTTTTTGACATATGACGGACACTTTTTATATACAGCGTTCGTTCTCTTGTTTTTCTACCTCTGTCGTTGAAAGGTTAGATTAGCTTCCTGCCCAACGTAAAAACTTGACGAGTCGCGATGAGGAACAAGCAATTGTGCCTATTTGGAAGAAAGAAGAAGAAGAAGAATATAAAATATACTTGAATACTATATAAAATATATTTTTAATAATACAATGTTAATGTTTATTTATAAATCATTTCAACTTTTATTTACATCATAAATTTTATAATATAGTTATATTAAACATTTGATTGATTGATTTATAAATTTATTAAATCATGATCTCCTGCATATAAAGACGGTATATTATAAATAAACACGAAATTCATTAAACTATTATTAGAATTAGAAATCTTTCTTTATTTCCTACATACAAGTCAGAAATAACCCTAATTAGAAATATGTTTAAAGTTTACTTTAAAAATTGTTACTCCAAGTTTTATTATTTATATTTATTATACTTGTTTTCAATTAATAGTACTTCATTTTAAAATAATTTTTTATCTAAATTTTAAATATTAATTATCTTTATTTTGTAAGCAAAAAGTCGCTTTGATAGGTTTGATTTAAACATCTGTCACAATATATACAATATCAAAAATATGTAATGGTAATCTACTATACATTACAAATGACTTTGAAGGAACACTAGCGACACTAACGTCGAGAAGAATCTAAATATGTCGAACGCATCTAATGGGTATTGGCATTCTTGTTGATTAATTTGCAGTAACTATTAAGTATATCTAGTGTTTAATTGAATTGTTTCGTGTATTGATAATACAAATGAATTTTTCAACTTTTTTTTATAAATCCGAAAATTATATCATACATATGATTTGTTTTATATTGTGATATACATATATATACACATACACACATACATAAAATATATATATATATATATCAACCTTCTTTTATATTTTGATTGTTTGAGAAAAGGAAATTATATGAAATATATTGTATATAAATGCGAACAAAGTTCTCAATGATATAGTGACTTTAACGTTATTAAGATTGTGATCATGATTGAAAGAAAAAAAAACCAACATATAGCAACATAGACGTTTTTTTCAATATTTAGCATAATATTTTTGGATTTTTAGTATTTTTATCTACGTATACGTAAGTAGATCACGATATAATATTAATAACGTTACAATATATTACATATTAAACGTTATTAATATATATATATTACATTATATATTAAAGCCAATGTTATTTAATACGTACGTCTATGTAGCAGATTATTTTATAATAGATTTGATTATTTTTGTGAATGAGTATTTGGATTTTGTCGCAACATTATATATTTCCTTCGTCATATAATTGTAGTTGATATATCGACATTATTTTATTAATTAATAGAAAAGCAATTTACAATTTTTTTTTTATTTCTATATTGATTCTATTATATTTTGTATTCTTTATATATATATATATATAATTTTTGTGAATGAGTATTTAGATTTTGTCGCAACGTTATATATTTCCTTCGTCATTCAATTGCTGTTGATATATCGACATTATTTGAATAATTACAGAAAAGCAATTTACAATTTTTTTTCTTTGTATATTGATTCTATTATATATTTTGTATTATATATATAAATAATAAGAGATGTATAATATACTTGAAGTGTTTAATTTTAAAATGATTTTTCTTTTTCAGTACTATTATACAACTTGTACCAGAATAATTTATACAAGATCTAAGTTTCCAAACCAAACATGACGGAGGACATGTTAGGTACAGATATCTGCCGGGTTTGCCGGTCAGAAGGTTTCGCTGATAGACCACTTTTTCATCCATGTATTTGCACTGGTAGTATTAAATGGATTCACCAAGAATGTTTAGTGCAGTGGATGCGATATTCACGGAAAGAATATTGTGAACTTTGTGGATATCGTTTTTCATTTACACCTATATATAGTCCAGATATGCCACGACGTTTACCATTAAGAGATGTTGTTGGTGGTTTGTTTTCAAGTATTATCACAGCTGTTAAATACTGGCTACATTATACTTTGGTAGCTATTGCTTGGCTTGGAGTTGTTCCATTAACAGCTTGCCGAACATATAGAGCTCTCTTCAGTGGACCTTTTGATTTAGTTAGAGTAAGAAATATTTATTCTAATAATCTATATTTAAAGAAAAAATATATCTTTTAACATTAATGTCATAATTTTAACAACTATTTCTTATATCTCAATTTTAGATAATGTCATTACCAATGGATATATTATCTACAGAAAACATATCATCAGATGTGTTTCATGGTTGCTTTGTAGTAACTTGTACATTATTTGCATTTATTGGTTTGGTATGGTTACGAGAACAAATCTTACATGCTGGTGGTCCAGATTGGTTAGAAAGAGATAATATTCAAATACCTCCAATTGATAATCCAGCACCAGCAGTAGCTGTAATAGCAGCTCAACAAATTCAAGAACAACAGGTAAATCAGCCAGAAGAAGCACAAGATAATAATAATGTACCACCTTTTGTTGATGATCCACTTGTACCTCAGGAAGGCGAACCTAATCATGAAGGTAATTTAATTATTTTCGAATTTACATATGTGAATAAATAAATTAGAGAATAAATTTGTCAAAAATATTATAATCTCTTTTAGGTTTAGCAAATGTAGAAGCTAATATAGCACATCCTCTATATCATGAACTAGGGGATAATCCAATTAATGATGCAAGAATGGAAGAGATGGAAGGTTTAGGAAGAGACGTAGAACCACCAATCCCTCATAGAGAAGAAGTGAATGCTGATGCTGAACATCCCAATCCTGCAATTGGTGATGGTTGGAGAGGTCAAGTACAAGGTCAAGCCCAAGGAGAAGCAGAGGAAGCTAATTGGAACCCTATGGACTGGGACAGACCAGCAGAAGAATTAACTTGGGAACGTCTGTTGGGATTGGATGGTTCACTTGTATTTTTAGAACATGTCTTCTGGGTTGTATCATTAAATACACTATTTATTATGGTAAGTTCTTTTGATATTCTATTATTTACACAATATTTTGTTAATGTTAAATTTAAGAATATTTATCGTCTTTATATCGGTTTTATTACTTTAATTAAAATTCTATATAATTTCAGGTATTTGCTTTCTGTCCCTATCATATTGGGCATTTTGCTATAGCAGGATTAGGATTACAAGAACATGCCGCGGCTTCTCATTTTGAAGGTTTAGTAACTACATTGTGTGGTTATTGTGTCATCGGAGTGTGTTTAGTCGTTTGTCACACTCTTGCAGCTTTATTAGGTTTTCAACGATCTCAGAGAATTCTTGGACTCTGTTATGTTATAGTCAAAGTTTCTCTACTGTCAGTAGTTGAAATTGGAGTGCTTCCATTAGTTTGTGGCTGGTGGTTGGACATATGTTCATTAGCAATGTTTGACGCAACACTACGAGATAGAGAAGCGTCTTTCAGCCTTGCTCCTGGCACCTCTATGTTTATTCACTGGTTATTAGGAATGGTTTACATATATTATTTTGCATCATTTATACTACTTTTACGAGAAGTTTTGCGACCTGGAGTACTTTGGTTTTTGAGAAATTTAAACGATCCTGACTTTTCTCCAATACAAGAGATGATACATCTTCCAATTTTGAGACACGTGCGAAGACTTGTTGCATCTGCAATCATTTTTGGTACAGCTATTTTATTAATGTTGTGGTTACCAATAAAATTATTGAGATGGGCTTGGCCAGGATTTTTGCCATATACAGTCACTGTTCAAAGTGAAGCTCAGGTAAAATTAATCTTATCAAAAGTGCATCATCCATCATGCATTAATCCATTTATGTTAGTATTATCCAAATAAAATATTCCATGTTTAAAATTAGGTGAGCGAGCTATCCTTGGAACTACTTTTACTACAAGTCATCCTTCCTGCACTCTTGGAACAATCTCATACACGCACATGGTTAAAAGCCCTTATAAGAGGATGGTGTCGAGTTGTTGCATGGATGTTAGATCTTCAATCATATTTATTAGGCGATCAAGTAGAGGAACCAGGTCCAGCAGTTATTGAGGAACCACAACATCCAGATTTAGGAGCAGCTCATCAGGCACTAATGCAAAGAGAAAATCCAACTAGTTTCCAACCATATACTAGACCACGATGGTTTCCTGCTCGCCTGATTGGTCTTCTATGTTGTGTTTGTATTTCACTCGTTATAGCTAGTTTAATTGCTATGACTCTTCCCGCTTGGTTAGGAAGAAGAGTAATGGCATTATGGATGGTCGGAGCACCTGCGCCATCGCCACCTGTATTACCACCTACATTAACTGGTTCTGGTAAACTTAGATTTATATTTAAAACTATTATTTAATATAAAACAGTGTCAAATTTTGAGTTATGATTTTGATTAAAAAAAAATATTCATTATTTCCAGATGGAGATGAAAGTATGACTGCTTTATTCGGAAGAGTACACGAAGTATATACAGTAGCCTGTGGAACGTATGTATGTTGGGCTGCTGTACGAGGTTTGGCATTAGCTTTTTCGTGGTTACCACGTGGTCGTAGGGCCATACTTGATAAAGTAAAGCATTGGGTTATTTTGGGATTGAAAGCTTCAGTTGCATCTGTTTTGCTCGTTGGAGTTATTCCACTATTATTTGGTCTTCTTCTTGAATTAGTTGTTGTCGTTCCATTGCGGGTGCCTTTAGAACAAAATCCTGTTCTTTTTATATGGCAAGACTGGGCTTTGGGTGTTCTATATACTAAAATAGCAACCGCTCTTACCATGATGGGTCCTGATTGGAGAATACGTTTAGCAATTGAAAGAGCATATAATGAAGGAATAAGAGAAATGGATTTAAAATTTGTAATTACAGAATTAGCAGCACCAGTTATATGTTGTTTTGGCCTTGCCCTAGCTGTTCCTTATGCTGTGGCTTATGGAATAGTGCCACTATTTGTTACCAATCTCCAAACACAAATACTTATTGCTAGACGTTTATACCCTTTCTTACTCCTAGTAAGTTTGGTTTGTATAGTCATTTACTTTCAAATACGTCAATTTAAAAAATTATATGAACATATTAAAAATGACAAGTATCTCGTGGGTCAGAGACTTGTCAATTATGAACACCGTAACAAACCACAGTCCCAACAATCACAAAGATCAAGCTAACGCCATCAGTAAATATTATATTATTAGGGTGAAAGGAGTCTTAGGATTAGCTTCATGTACATTCTTTAACATGTTTAATTATTATGAATTATAATTTAAGTAAACGATGCTTTAATTCTTAATATTATAATTTATTAATGTATAAGCGATACTCAATAAATCAAAAAGATTGTTATCTAAGTGTATCGCGCTTTTGAGTTTGATAAGTATATTACTAAATTTTATATCTTGAAATAAATTACACTAACAAAATTGCTTTTATACTATATAATGAATTGAAAACAATGTTTTATTTTGAATGTTGATTTGAAATAAGTGGATAAGTGATAATAAAATACAATATAACATTTTTCATTTCTAAAATATATTAAATGATTTGTCATGGGTCTTTATATATATTATATTATAATAACAAATAGTATAATTATAATTAAATTAGGTTATCAAATCAAACCTATTTATTTAAGTTTAACTATTCCTTGTTTACATGTATTTTGTGAGAAAATTAAATCAAAAGAGTAAAATATTTTCACAAAACATATATGTATAAGCTAATAAAATGGAAGTATTATTATTACAACTTTTTGACATCATATCTTCTTCTTTCTATATAAATTTTTTTAAATAATTATATTATTATGAAAGAGATTGTTGTTTTTGTTTTGAATTTACAATAAATAAATCATTTTTTCTTACATATATATATAAATATATATATATATATATACAGTGATTCCTCTATTTACGTTGATTATTTTAACATGCTTGATTTATGTATACCAGAGCTCATATGTCATCACAATGTGTTATGTAAAAATCATTTCGAAGATTCCACCATAGAACAAATTTATTTCATATTCGCGTAAATTAATTTTTCTATCCCATTAAAAGCTAAATATGTATATATTTGAGAGAATGTAGAATAAATCCTTATTTTTTAAGTAACTTTTTGTCATGGTTCCAATTATGCACTGTTTTTATCGAATCAATTATCCATAATTGAAGGGATTACTGTATATAATAAATATAATTAAGGGAATCTTATGGGGAATCTCTCAATTTTAAATGATGTCAATGCACAACCGATGGGGGAGGATCTTCCTTATTTACATTAGCAATGCGAAACAACAAAATTTAGCTGCCCGAGCATGAAAATTTAACGTCCGTTGACTAAGCGTTAAGATAAAAAATGATTAATCAATCATTTTTCATTTTCTCGATAAAATATTAATCCTCTTTTTGATGATCAACGAATTGCACGAATTTTTATAAATCGGAATAAGGCCCTTAAGAGTAAATCACGAAAGATTAACAAGGACTTAACATCGTTGCGATAATGATTCATATTTATTTATATTTAAAAATCACGAATTAATAATAATAATAATAAATTGAAGAAAAATATAAGCATATGTGTTGATAATTTGTCTTTTTTTTGATAAAATATATTTTATCATAAATAAAATTGAAATGTTAGAAGACCATATTTGTGTGATTTTGTGTATGTGTTGAATTATTTATTAATACTTGTGATTATTGTATTTTTGCAATCTCAACGATCACTAAATTTGTTTATAAGTTTATTTATATTTTTTATATGTAATTTTTAAATGTAATTTTAAACGAATTCTCTACTATCTAAAAATAAGAGAAAGATTATTATCTTTCCATAATAAATATACTTACTTATTTGTTCTTTTTATCTTCTTTTATTATAAGGAAAAAAAAATTTTTTTTTTTTTTAAATAATGTTCAATTAATTCAAATGTTCAAATAAATTTCAAAAACAAAAAGTACACGATTCAAATGAAATTCATGATTCAACGATTAAATGAAAATAATTAGATTTCATTGATCAGATTGAAAATTCAATGGAATTCATCTACTTTGTAAAAAGAATAGTAAAAATAAATGAACAAAAAAAAATGAAAAAAAATTGACACTTCATTCATTTATTTAAAAACAAAAAAATATCAATTCTATCATAAAATTATCGCTAAACATGAATTAACTCTTTTATTTGCATTGTCGTACAATTTTAAATAACTTAAATGATTTCTTTTGGATATCATAACATTTGCGACTCTCTTGTTTTAAAAAAACCGAGTGTATGTCTTTTGTTTATGTATATATATATATAATATCAGGGGACAATTTCATGATCATTACGTACTTCCTGTCATTATTTTTTTGTCAAACATAATTATAATCCGTCATTAATTGTTTTCTTCATCGAGGAACATAAGCGTCAAAATTTATATATGTATGTAAATAATAGATTTGTCTATTTATTAGTTTGTGTATTGTATAGCACGTGTATGTGTATATATTTTATTTATATTGATATATTTTTATATATATAATCAGCTTCTCAAAGTGTGGTTCGTAATTCTATGGTGGTCGCGCAACTAAATTTAAGGGTTGCAGAAATTTAAATAGAATTAAACAATTTTTAGACGCGCAACGATTGATAATTAATTGAAAATTAGTTTAATAACACGTATAACATTATTTATGAATTTACATCATCAATTAGAAATTATTGATGAGTCTTCAATATTAGCTCGTCCCAAAAATTTCTTCCTTTTTCTTGATGACAAGTTGCACAATATTGTATGCGTAATATTTTTTATGTTATTTTATTAAATAATATCAATTATACTCTAGATTATCCCCTTTTTCTTTACTGTATAATTATTCAACATAAAAAATATTGTGCGCGTAAAATTATTTTAAAAAAAGAAGAAAGAAGAAACTTTGAGGACGACCTAATATATAAATTAAAAATAAAAAAAATATAATTCACATACTTGTGCGTAATGTTTAATTGATTACACTTTTGTTATGTATGCGCGCGCGCGTGTGTGTGTATATATTTGTATATATGTATGTATTTGCTTTTGTTAAATTTACAAAATATTCTTTAGACTACGATTTATTCTATAGGAATATAAATTGATTCATCATCATTATGGACGATAATTAACAATACATAAAAAGAAGATTTAGACAATTCGTTTAAAATGAGAGCAAAAAATAGCAATAAGAGGATCTTTTCTGTCCGTTAATTAATGCACAAACCACGCAAGATCGATTTAGAAAGTTATTTATAATTGTTAATATCATTTGCAATTTATGCTTTTGATTTTATCACTAATATTTAATGATTCAAATATTTTTATTTAGTTTATTATCGAAGAAACGTTATCTTCTCTTTTTATTAAAGACGTATATTATTAATTTGAAAACGATCGGAATTGATATTTACGCAAGAATACTTGTTAATTATCATAATTTTGAAAAAAAAAAAAAAATATATATATATATATATAAATATAATTTCGTGTTTTCTTCAACGTAATATTTTACATATATATTACGTATATAAATATCTCACTCATAATGTTATACTATTTGTATTTAAATCTATAAAAATATATTTTAGAAGAAATTTGTGTTTATCGACGAGAAGCCCCATATTTCAGTTTTCCTTTTTTATTTTTATTTTTATACTTTTTTAACGTTATATAAATTAATGGTTCATCGTTTAAAAACAATAATGATGAAAGCATATATTGAACAAAAGTAATCGTTAGAAAAGTAAAACTTTAAAAAAAAAAAAAAAGAAAAAAAAACGAACTTATTCGCTCGTGACGAGTTCTTAAGCAAAAACAATTTTTTTAATAATTATAATAAAAAAAAAATTAATGTTTCTCGCACTATTTTTTTTTATTTTTTTTTTTTTTGAGAAGAGTTTTTTTTACCATTCATTTATCGAACCATGTAGAGAGTACATAAAAGCATTTAACAAATCTCATATTTATAATAATAATAATAACCTTTTGGATTTAACCAATAGAACATGATTTAAGATGTGTAGAAATTGTTGTTCATTTGTTCACTTGTATCTTTGTTTAAATAATAAACGTGTTATCAGTATTATATGTATATTTTGCAATTAGATAAGATATTTAGTAATGTGTCTAAAAAGTGTTACTTTAAATAAATGTAATCGTTATTTTTGTATAAAGACTCATACAATGATTAAACAAGAGATTTATATATATATATATAATAATGAACCAAATTAAAAATGAATATTACCAAATAAATATTCAGTAACTCATAGAAAATCATGAAATATATAGATAAATAATTGTATAATAATAATAATAATAATATATTCAGTAGCCGATAAAAATTTTCATTGATCATATATAATAACAGCAATTATTTACAATTGAATTAAATCTAATTAAACTCTCGTGAGATATATATATATTTTTTTTTGTTTTTTCTTTCTTTCTGTAATTTAGATTCCTTTTTCTTTTTTTTTCTTCACATGAGAACTTTCTTTTAATAATAATTAATCAATTTTTAAAATTAATCTTAGAAGAGAGAGAGGTAGCGATATAATTAAATCGTGTGTTAATATTCGAACAAAATAAATGCATTATTAATAAATGAAGAAGAGACAATATTATAAAGAAAACATAATTGATGATCATTTTACAGAAAAGTGTAAGTTCAAAGTGTAAGTTCATCTAACGTTTGTAAGATTTATTATTTACCATTTTATTAAAAGAAGAACAAAAATAAATGCATTATTTCAAATGATTAGAATTTCGAATCAGTTGTTCAATAAATCGATATCAAATGAATATTAAAAAACAAAAATATTGAAGAATTTAAAAACTTATTATTGATAACAATAATACAAGAATAAATAAAAAAAAAAAAAAAAGAAAAGAAAATTCTCATGTATCATAATAATGTCGAATTAATTCCGAACGTTTTTTTGTTTTTTTTTTTTGCTAATAATAATATAGAAGTTGGAAAATGTTTTGTGCATGCATTTGTTTACATGTGTAAATTGTTTTATTTGTTGGTGTGAGGCGGGAGGAGAGTGCAGGGAGGAGAGCGGCGAAAAGATGGCTTCTTTGGATCTTTATCAGAATATAATGTGCAAAGATTTAACGAGGCGGGTTATCAATTGAATAAATTCGAATAAATTCGGTCTGTGTTTTTGTAAAGCTACTATTACATGATTTTTTTTTTTTATAAATACACAACTCCGATTACTTTCGTCATTAATCCGTTTGATGATGATGATGATAATAAGGCGCATATGTCCATGAGGAACAATGTTTTTTAATGTGATTCTCAAACATGTGATATCTCAGTTAAAATATTACATACGTTTGGTTGGTAGATATTGCTAAACAGATTTAAAGCAGCGCACACTTTTTTTCTTTTTTTTTTGTTTGTTACAGTTGAAGCAATCGATTTTTTTTTGTTTCAGGCGCGGCAAAGATATATATATATACATATATAAAAATTGATCTTGCAAATAGAGTAGTAGTCCTCTCGATGTAGTTGTTGTTGTTGTTATATCCATTCATTTTTACTGTTACACCAGGTGATAAGAAGTACAATAATTAAATCGTCATTGTCATCGTCATTGTCAACGTCAACGTCATTGTCGTCGTCGTTGTGTCGTCGTATAGTTGTTGTATTGTTGTTGTTGTCGTCATCGTCGTCTCTTAGTCGTTGATCCAAGAAATTGCATAAAATTCATGATGATGATTATTTTTTTTTTTTTTTTTTTAGAGTTTTGAAAGATAAATTGTTATAATCCGTATATCAATATAATAATAATTCATGATTTTTTTTTTCTTTATGACACAGAAAATATGTATAATATCATTCCGTGTCTTTCGTTTGCAGAGTAGTCTCTTCCGTTTGTCTTCTTTTCTCTTTTGTGTTTTGAAACAACCGTCGTATACAAAGCATTTTGTTTTTCAAATTTTCCTTTCATCTCCTTTTCTCTTTGCTTTCTTTCTTCTTTTTTCTCTCTCTCTCTCTCTCTCTCTCACTCTGTCTACGGCAATTTTAAAATCGCACGTTTTTATTAATAACTAGCTGTATGAACGAATAGTACATTTCATACATTTCCAATAAGGTGAGGGGGAGGAGGATGAGGAGGAGGGAGAGAGGATAGTATTTTCTTTGTTTTTCTTTTAGATACACTCGAGGAGTCTTCCTTCTTACTATACAATCGTATAAATTATATGAGTGGCTGCTTAATCTCAAATCATCTTTTTCATCATTTTCATCATTTTCATCTTCATCGTCTTCATCTTCTATCTGGTACGACGAACAATTTTAATTGTAAATCTTAATGGCCTTTTCGAGGTAGTTGATACGTGAGCGCTTAGGCGCTTTGTTGACGTGTTCCAGGCCGAGCCAAGGCCTATGTGGCGATGCGCCTGCGTTTAAAAGTGGATAAACTACAATATTTTTATTTCTCATCAAAGTTAATTTGAAACGAGATAGTGTATATCAAAAATAAACAAAACTACACACAACATGCGCAACATTAAAAAATTGTTCATTTATGTCTCTATTTGCGTCTACATAATTTAATATGAAAGAGTAATTTTCGGAAACTTTTGTATATGTACGTATATACTATTAAAGATTATCATAAAATTATATCTAAAGAGAAAATTTGATACTTACTATTTTGACTCAGATGAGTTTGAAAATCGGCGATGTCCATGCAATAATCCGGAGTTTCGACAATGAAGTTTGGTTTGCCCATCGTAACCACCGCGAACTTAAACTTCAAAGTTTTTTTATGAATTCTCATAAAAGATCAAACAAAATTAGATTAGGATGCCTACCTTTTCGAATTCCTTTTCTTGTACACCAAGTTTTTTCAATAATCTTTCCTTCATCTTTGGAAATGGTTCACCCTAGAAGATAACATTATCAATCAAAATATCTATTCATTTAATGAATGCACTTTTTAGTTCAACTTGAAATAAAAAAGAAAACATTAAAAAGAGAAATTATTTGAATATATTATTAAGTAATGCTTACGTGTTTGATTTTAAAGAAGAATGGTATACCAAACGTTGAAAAAACATCTTTGTGAAAATGCGCAACTGGAACTAACATTTCATCTTCCGCAAGATTAAGCTCATCAGTTGGTACTTCTTCTATCCTGTACATTTTAGCGCCTGACATGTTTAAGGTATCTAAAAGTACGTCGTCTCTAGGACCAGGTAACAATTTATTACAATTGATTTCTAATATCCTTAATTTTCCTGAACCATTTTCAGATAATTCAACTTGTTTCTTAGCCTCTTCCAGTAACGTAGCGACAGTTCCATTTTTATTTGGATAAAGTATTATCTCTTTTTCTTCTTTTAAAGATGGCCCAACCCATATACATTTGAATTGTTTTTTGTTTTCAAGTTCGTTAACTCTAATACTAAGCTGCTGGTAAAATAATTTTTTTACTTTAGGTTTACTGTATGAAAACAATTCTTTAAGATTGCCCTCAAAATTACATTTCAATGCAGATCCAGGTGAATCCTTGTAACTACAATTAAGCATAACATGTATATATGTTTATGTAATATATATATATTGAGAGACACACGTGTATATTTGCACACATACACTTTTGTATAAAAAACTTTGAATAGGTTTTACCTTTGACACCTAAAGAATTGTAAAAGATATGGGTCTGTGCCTACACGCTGTGCTACTGCATTAGCCATTTGATCGTATGACATTCTTAATGAAAGCTCCATTGTAAAACCAGGATCGTTCGGAATAGTTTTATCGCAAAATGTAACTTCTACCCTGGAAAATAGGTCCCTGAAAATATCAATAATGGATTAATATATGTTCTCTTTTATATATCCCCTCTCATATACAGGGTTTCAGATGTTTATTCATACAAATATTATGAACGTATTCTACATTTAAAAATAAGAAAAAATAGCTTTATAAACATAGGTCATTTAAAGCAATAAAACTTTCAATTATTCTACATTCAGTTTAAACGTTTTATTGCTGTTTATAATAATTGATTTTTTATTTTCCCCCACAAATGAAAATCTAGTAAAGTGAAATCAGGTGATCTAGATAGCCAAGCTTATTGTTCAGAAAAGAATACGTTGAATCAACCCAAGATAATAAACAACCTACGCAGAACCGCTAAACATCATCTTTGAGCAAGACATTTAGACAGACAGAGAGAGAGAGAGAGAGAGAGAGAGAGAGTTTTACAATTTATATTTTAACTTTTAAATAAAGCTTTAAATAACTTATGTTTTCATACAATTTTGGTCTTATTTTTAAACGTAGAATACGTTCCACAACAACGTTTATACAGAAAAACGTCTGTGTGTGATACCTCTGTATATAAGTAAAAATATTGTATACTTACTTAAAATATTCTTTGCAAGTTGGAAGGTCATATTTTTTATTATCTCCTTCCTTCTGAAATACTATAATATCACCGTCCATTAACTCTTCGAGTACTTTTTCCAAAGGATCCAACAGGTTTTCTATTTTTTCAACTAAGTTTGGTTTGATTTCTTCATATAAAGCTAGTTCTGTGTTCGGTGGAAATCCAGCCCTTTCATTTAAAATTGGTATGAGTTCCACTGTACAAAACCGTCATAATAATAATTATTTTCCACTATTACATAAAAATAAAATAATATTAACACGTTGAGCACCATGCGAATTCTTGAGGAAATCTCCGTCAGCAGGCTATGGACGTTTACTTTGTATTGAAACAAAAAGTTGAACATCAATCACCGGCAACTGGCACTGATGGTGTTCAACTATCTTTTTTTTTTTTTTTTTTAATTTAAAAATTATTTTCTTGTATTTTTTTTTTTTTTTTAAATGCAAAGTAACACGCGTGGCGCAATCGAGGATTTTCTTTAGAATTAATTGGCGTGACGTTCAACGTGTTAATAAAAATATTAAAAGTAATAATGAAAGAGCAAGATCGAGAGAAAGATATACAAATATTATAATTAAATATAATTAATAAGTGTTTTTTTTTTTTTTTTTTACGTTCTCTCATTTAGAAACCACAATTAGTTAAGTTAATATTAGGTCGAGTCATAAGTAATTACTTCCGATGGGTCTATGTAGAATCTATTTTTCATATTTATCTACTATAAGTAACCGAAACAAAAGGTGCATATTCGACATGTAATGCTTTAAGTATTGAAACAAAGCAATAGCACTAAAGTGGCAGCTGAAAAAATGTGCAGCGTATACAGTGCAGGACTGATAACTAATAGGGCAGTCAGAAATTGGTTTGTAAAATTCCATTCTGGAGATACGATCTTAAAAGATGAACCGAGTACAGCGACGTATTTCCAACTTTGACGAACCTTTTAAAGGTAATATTGGAACAAAATTTAATAGATACGTCCAACAAATACAAAAAAGTGTTGTGCACTTATTAGTGGCAGAAACGCTATTCTTTGTCTCATTAAAAATGGAAGTTATTTATGACTCGACCTAATACATAAAAATTTGCGAAATATGCATTATTCATATATTAATTAATATATAATTGTACTTTATATGATAAATATAAACTTACAAACTCTCGCAACCACAGGCATATAATGATGGCCACAATAATGAATTTTCTTATTTTTAGGATCATACAGTTTAAAAAATAATAAGACATCAGTGTCCTTATCAAAGGGTGGTAACGATGTCAATTCTGAATCCGGAGGTACGAGTTCTACAAATACGTTCCAAGGATTCGCATTATCCGCACAATCATACAATGATTTTTGAAGATCTGCTTCTGGCTCAATCAACGTTGGTCTGCAGGTTTGATTCGTACGTATACTAAACGGCCAAACGCGAATCTGTTCTATTGGATATCTCTGCAGAAAGAATTGAAATATTATAAAAAAAAAACTTGTTTAAACGCATACACACAGAGAGAGAGAGAGAGACATACGTATGAGTTGTAAGTTCTTCATGAAATTATAGTTTGTAGAAAACTTAAAAATCTACTATGATTTACTTCATTTTATTATCATTCAAATTTAAAACAAAAGTTTATGCTTTTATTATATATATATATATATAGAAAAAATTCATTGAAATGAAATTGTGAAATAGAATTATCTTGTATTATTTCTCCAATGAAAAGATTATTAATAATAATAATAATAAATATATGCGCATTTAATATACGTTAGAAATAATTTAAAATAAAATAACATTTGAATGAAATTGTATTATCCATAATTAATGAATGTTTACAAAGTGTTTCACGCCTAAATAATATTTTGGAATAAGCACTTACCAAACTATCGCTTAGAAGTTCAAGAAACTCGTGGACAGTTCCCTGCTTACGTACGCGAAATATACGAAATGATGCGTGTTCCGGGTCGTAGAGATCATTTCCTTGGTGACCATCAAAGCTATCCTCAAGAAGAACGTTAATTGTCATATATAAGGGCGCTTCTGATCTCTCCTTTCTTCGTATTTGTTCCAGCCTCTTCTCCTCTTGAAGTCTCTCCACCAGCTAGACCAACAAAATTAAAATTATCTATATGCAAAGAATGTTTGGATTCATCTCACTTTTCTTTTATTTCTTTTATTTATTTATTTTTTTTTCTTTCTTTCTTTCTTTCTTGTAATTTTGATAAGAATATCATATATAAGGAATGAATGGATTAATCTCGTCATACTTTTGAAATTCGAAATTGAGCAACACATTCCAAACATCAAAAGGATGAATTAACGTTTGATCATTTACATAATTTTAATTTTGTTCATCTGCCGCAATATATCGACTACCAAGTTAAACATTTACATTATGAGAATTATTCAGTGGGGAGCGATGGACTTACTTTAAGTCTGATATATATATATAAATATATACATACATGCAATATATAAATATATAAATATGAAATATCAACAATTTACTCGATAATCAACTTTTTCCATGATATTTTCATTCATTTATACATTCAAATGTTTAAATCAATTCGACTGGAATCATAGAAAGCAAGAGACATATTAACATTTCTTTTTAAGGATACCTACATATCAGATCTTTAATGTTAAGTTAAACCAAATATTTATGGAAGAAATGAATTGATATTAATAATAAAAGTATAAAATAATAATAATAATAATAATGATGGTAATGATGATGAAAAAAAAAAAATCAAATTAAATGAATGGGCAAGCCCATCACTCAAGCCGAATAATAGCAAAGATGTAATGTCTAACTATAATAGTGTGGAGATGCTATATTGAAACAACATTTTTGTCGAATAAAATGTTCAGAGTTATGTCTGAACATTACACATCGTTTTTTTTTTTGTTGTTGTTTTTTTTCTATTGGTGAACAGATATTGAAACGGTGTAAATAACTAACGTAAATTCAAACTGTCAATTTTTCTAGCATCTAACAGTTTATTCGTTATTTCTTTTTTTTTTCATTTTTATATATAAAATAGTAAGTATAGCATTTTAAAGGTATTCCACGATTATATTCTACTATAACGTATCTCTATATTATTTATTGATGGATAGTTTGCCTCTTCTTTCTTTCTTTCTATTTTAATAATATTATGTAACAACAAATAAATAGATAAGCATCTGTTAAGAAACATACTCACTATTAACATTGAGAGAATTTCATGATTAACGAGTTGTTATTATTATTATTATTGTTGTTTATTTTTTGTTATTTTTCTTTTCTTTTTTTTTTTTTTTGTTGTTGTTCTCTTCTTGTTATTATTTATTTTTATTGAATTCTGACTTTAGCGCGAAGCACTAAATTCTTGATTCATTATTTATTAATAAATAGTAAATATTGATTCAAGAAAATGAGCAAAAAAAATGTAAATATCATAAATCACATATTACCCCTCACTCATCAAACAATCCTTCTTTTGCTTTTTTTTTTCTTTTCATTTTTTTTTTTTTTTTTTTTAACCTGTCACTAAATATTATGTATTATTTTTCATTGTGTTTAAATTATATTATATATATATATATAAATATATATATATATATATATATATTATATACATATATTTATATATGTAACTATTATTACTGCACTTGATTTGAAAAGATTTTCTTTCTTTTTTTCCCCCACCGACTGTTATCTCCTTTACAATTATGCAAACATATCCAATTAAAATTGAAGATATGTGTGTGTGTGTGTTGAGTGTGCAGTTTTCTCATTTGAAGCTTCCAACATGATACTACAATTACAATCATTAATTTCAAATATATTTTATACAATGTTTATTACAATAAAATCATTTTCAATAATCATTCGAAGGCTTCTCCCGGTATTTTTACCCCAATTAATCAGGCTTTTTAAGATTAATTTGATTCTACTACAAAAAGAGTCTTTGACAGCGACTAAAGTTGCAACACGTACCCTTAGAATATTGACTCTTTTTTTTTTTTTGTTTCTTTAATTATATATCATTACTTTTTTTCGATTCTAATAAAATCTATCAAAAATTTTGCTTACTTCTTTTTTTTTTTTTTTTTCTTTTGTTGGTTGTATATATAAAATTATCTCATTGATTCAGATTAAAAATAAAAATAAAAATTAGAAATAGAATATTATTCACACACGTCTCGATCGTCCGTACAGAAAAATCATCTTGGATAAAAATAGTTTTGGAAGAAGAAAAAAGAGAGAGAGAAAGAGAAAAAGAGAAAGAGTAAAAGACAGAGAGAGACAGACAGACAGACAGACAGACAGACAGACAGACAGACAGAAAAAGTGAGAAGAAAAAATCTTCTGAATCATACAAAACAAATCTCTATATAACATGATTTAGAATACATATCTTTGCAAAAAGAATTTTTACAAATAACTTTATAGATTAACTTTGATCTTGTATTATTACGCAATATCATATGCTTTGTAATAGTAAAATTAATGCACAGGTAGCACCGTAAATAAAAGTGCTACAAATATTATGCAACATATTATGCTTGTGTCTTAATGGGAAAAAATTTACATAATATTTACTTTACGTTCTCATCAATATTATGTGATAAAAAGATAATTACAAATGCTTAAAAATATATATATATATGTATGTATATATGTATGTATGTATGCATGTACGGACAACAAAGTATTGATTATTAATTGGATAAAATTGGCAAATCTCACTTTCTGATCAGTCCACGTATTTAAAATGAATAAATAATTAAAATTATTTTTTGCTATCTTTATATATATATATATATAAAAATATATATATATATATAAAATAATAAAGAGAAGAAAAAGAAAGAAAGAAAAAAAGAAAATCAATGAAGTTATAGCTAATTTTAAGTATATGCTGGTTTCATGATGTTTGGTTTGTTGCTTTCATACACTGTCATTTTTTCCCCCTTTTTTTTTTTTTTTTTTTTTTAGTAAATATATTATAAGCAGACTTGATATAGCTTTCAAAGTCAGATCATTTGCCAGAAAGCAATGAATATAATTTACAAGTTGTTCCATCTAGTCATTTATCCCGTTTTCTGCAAGTTAAAAGTCATGAATACAGAGATTTGGGTTTCGTGGATTTTGCGTGCACGGACGAAGAGACGCTGTTTCTGTATGCGAGTCTTTAATTGTATCAGTTGCGTCTTTGTCGCGTTCAAGGTCGTTCATTTCCTGGGAAAGTTCTCTTTGAAGGACGTTTCTGACCTCTTGAGGTATATCCTCTTCTTTAACTTCTTGCAAGACGTTTTCCAACTCGGAGTTCCTTATATAAACCAGCATATATGCATTCGTACAATGCTTCACAGCCATAGACATGTCCTCGTCTTGACCACCGTAATTATGTTCAATGGCCTCTTGTTTTGTACAGCGCGAGACGACATCATCATCAAATTTGCACCACTGATATGAACGAAAAGAAAAAATAATATATTTATCATTTTTTAATGACCAATCTTTGATCTAGTTTTATTATAGAAACAAACAAACAAACAAACAAACAAAATAACAACAATTCTATTCATTGTTGCTATCCATAAATTAATTTATATGAAAATAAATATAGTAAATATAAAAGAAGAAACTTTTCAACTTACCTTTCCATCTCCACTAGGATTAATAAATACGACATAATGACCGCCATGATTGTCCCCACTATGTACGAGAACCGCGTGTAAAGTATAATCTGCACTTCCTCTTGCAGGATCTTTATTTTGCAAGTATTTGTCGAGATTAATTTTTTCATAGAATTCAAACCTTCAAAAATGAACTCATTTAATTAATATCATCACATTTGTATTAATTGTTTATTATTTTTTTAATAATATCACTAACCTATCATTAAATTTAACTGAACAATCTGTAACCGGGTCATACTGAAATCGCATTAAATGTAAATGTAATACAGGTGGAAACGATGAGAAAATAACACCTTTTTCTGCTTCTTGCAAACCATGCTCTCCCGCGTCATATTTGTTATCTCCATCAAGACTTTCAGTGCTCACATAATCGCTAAAAGATTCGTATACTGAAATGCAAATGATATGTTAATTTTAAGTAGAAAGAGAAATACGCTTAATAATAATAACAATAATAATATTACAATCAATGATGTGATAATTGAAAATAAATAAAACATACTATTTTTCTTTCCTTTTATGTTCAATTGTATATCGTAAAAAGTTTCTTCTCTCGTAGACTTGTATTCTATATTCTTGCATTTGATAAAGGACATCATTTTTCCTTCAAATAATTTTGGCACTGTACCTTCTACACACGTACCTTTCATTTTGCTCTCTAATTTGTCTAACAGCTATCACACAATATTTATATTAACATTAATTTTTTTTCTCGATATTTCACAAAAAGAAAATTAATACAATTATTAATTAAACTTCGATTGAAACTTTACCACGCGTAAAAATTCTTGTACGTCGTGTTGCATAAAAGAATCCAACGTTTCCCATCCAAAACTTTTAGTCAACTTTTTTGTCCCAACAGGTTTGTCAGAAAATTGCAATTCATGAAAAACCCTCTGTAAAGCCAATGCTACACTTTTGCTGGAATCGTCGCTTTCAGTTGGCATTTTGTACACTGCTTTGCGTAACTGAAAATTTGTATTATACACATTACATTAGACGAAAAATGTATATATCATATTCAATCAAATGAAATATAATCAATACTCAATATACCTGATTGGTGAAGTACAAGGTCTGAAGTAAAGAATTCATATAGCATGTAGCTCCTTGGTTTTTTAAACCTACATGCCCCGTATGTTTTTTACTATCCCAACAAACACCATGTGGTGCATCAGCTATTACATGAACCTAGGTATTTAAAAATGAAAATTTCAAAAAGATATATTGGTTTTAAAGCGTGACTGATACATTAATAATATCCATATTATACTAACCTCCAGAGTTATAGAATCGTCTTTGATATAACCTTTATCTGGATCCAATACTTCTTGCCATGTCATAAAATGACTAAATCCCCAGTCGTTTTCTCTACTATAGAAGAGATGTTGTATCTCTACGATATAAATATACATTTTATAATTACATAATATTATTACATTAAAAAAAGAAAAAAAAAGGAAAACTAAATATATTATTTTCATTAGAGCTTTTGTCACATATTAATTGTCTTATACTTACTTCTACTAAAAGGTGGTTGTCCTTCTTTACAAGATAACAATCGAAGTTCTGCCGTAGCAGAACAACTCCATGAAGTGGATTCGCTCTCACCATTACATTGTAAAAAAAAACCAAGTGATTTTTGTGACTGCCTTTCTTGAGTTGGACTAGATCTTGGCATCACCATTATTTTCCATGGTAAGTTACGAACAAAACAAGCGGGCGACAATTGAGATTCTTTCATTTTTGAAATAGTTTCAACTGTGTACCGAAACGTGGCTTCCGACCTTGCTTCATCTAATAAGGAGATAACTAAATTACAATTTAAATCAATTTAAATTTCATAATGAGACATGAAAATAATTTCAGCTAATATTAATCGCATTAAATTGAAATAAACTCGAAAAGAGAGAGAGAGAGAGAGAGAGAGAGAGAGAGAATGACAAGAGTCTCATGCACAAATATAATGAAATATTATATTTTAAGTATATGCAACGTAACAAACCTTCCTCCATTTCTTGATCTTGTACTATACACGCTAATTCTTGTTCTCCATTAATAGGACGGCTCTCATTTGTATCCCCACCACCATCATTTGGTGTTTCTATAAATTGTAAATGCAAGGTATAGTCTAATTTACCTTTACCTTCCTTTATATTAGATAATAAAGTACTTATGAGATAATAATATCACAATATCTGAAAGATCTTAATTTTCTTTGTGAATTTCACATAACAAAGGACAGGAATTTGATTAAAGAAATTAAACAGATGAAAATGTCAAGAAGTAAGGTTATCTGTATAAACGAAAAGTACTCTTACTATTTTGTAATGATATTTTTAAGAATTTGGTTACATTTCTTCAGAATAACTATTGTCACAATAACAATGACATTGTCATGAAGTAAAATTATGCTATGAAAGAATCATTTCGTTTAATTTATCATACATTTAATAAATCTTCAATATGTGAAGTCATGTTACCTTTCACATATTATTAGAAAACAATCAAACACTAATTTGAAACGAATAGTATTATAATATCAGTAATTATTTTATGCACATATATATATATTTTTAAACTATGAATAAATATACTAAAACAACTATTAAAGAGATGAAATGAAAGAAAATAGATTAAATAGCTCTGATATAATAATTTTAGCGTAAAGCAACAACATCTGTTATTCCAAAATAAAATTATCTAACAATTCAATTATTAAACAACGATCAAATACTTTTTAAACAATATAAATTACTTTTATCTTCGTTAAACTGATATGTCAAGCTATACTTAAACAAAAAAGAAATACCTTGGATAAATTTAATAGTCATCTCGCAGTATAATATTAAACTGTTTCAAATAAAGATTGTATTCTTTGCAGTGATCAAACACAAATACTCGATTCGGTCAAGAAATGCAAATGAAAAAGAAACAGAAACATGTGTTCTTTAAACTCCTTATTCTTCAAATTCCGTTAGAGAATTATTTCAAAGTTGATGGGTTCTTGGAAAAAAAAAGTTTACTAATAAACCCCCTCCGTTATAGTTTAGTGGCAGAAAGAGAAAGTGAGAGTGTGTATGTGTGTGTGTGTGAGAGAAAGAGAGAGAAAAGAAAGAAAAGAGGGAGGGAGAGAGAGAGAGAGAGAGAGAGAGAGAGAGAAGAAAGAAAGAGAGAAAGAACGTTCATTCTACTTTATAAATTATATATATATATACATGTCATAATACATACATATACATGAGTGTATGAAAGGTAAGGAAAAAGGACCCTTAGAATAATTTTGAGAAAATCACGTTAGTATAAACGTGGCGTATAAAATGAACGGATGTACATATTGTCAAAATGATGAACGCGAACATTCTTCGACTTTCTCTGATCCCGGGTATAGAAGAAAGAAGAAAGAAGAGAAAGAGAGAAAGAGAGAGAGAAGAGAGTGAGAGAGATGAAAAGAGAGAAAAGAGAAAAATAGAAAGAGAAAAAAGGAGAAAGAGAGAGAGAGAGAGAGAGAGAGAGAAAAAGGGAGAAAGAGAGAAAGGAAAGAAAGAACAAAAAGAATAAAAAATATCGTGATCACAAATAGTTGTAAACGTGTTTTGATGCGTAAGTAACAAAGAGGCATGATTATATACGCGTAGACGAGATTGAATCGTAAGAAAGAGAGAGAGAACGAATAGTGTGTGTGTGTGTGTGTGTGTGTGTGTGAGAGAGAGAGTGTGTGTGTGTGTAAGGGAGAGAGAGAGAAAAAGAGAGAGGGGGAAGAGAGAGAGAATAAGAAGAGAGTCGAGTCGAATAATAAAATAAAAAACGCTGCGTATACATGTAAAAATATATCAGAAAACTACTTACCCTCTTGCGTGTCCATCTCCTCGACCTCGTTAACCTGAACCGGCGTCAGATTAAGCTGCTTAAGATTTTCCTGATCGTTAACGTGGTTCATTGCGATGCCAATATTGATGGTCGTTTTGACTGCGCTAGGTACCTCGGAGGCGGGTACCGCCGTCGAGGTTATTTCCGCGGATACTTTGACCGGCGCTCCACCAGCGGTTAAGCTCCGTCTACGAAGCTGCTGTTGTACAAGTGTCTGCGTATTTTCGCGCGCGGGGTCGCTGCTCATCAGTTGCTGACGATAACGACGATGCTGCTGCTGCTGCTGCTTTTGCTGTTGTTGATGATGATAATTATGGTGATGATGATGCTCTTGCTGCTGTAGCGGTGGCGGCGATGATGCTGGAGGTGATGGTGGTGATGATTGCTGCTGTTGTTCTTCTTTTTTTTCTTCTTCTTTTTCTTCTCCTTCTTCTTCTTCTTCTTCTTGCTGTTGCTGCTGTGCGTTTTTCAGTTCAGCAACTTGCAATCTATTCTGAATATTAGCGTCACTCGGACGACTTGAGAACGACGACACTACTTTAGCGCACGGCGAGGATTGATGATGATATTTGCTTGCAATTCGCCCAATTTCTGTTGCCATCAAGTGCCCCCGTATTTTCGGGGGACGCCCACAACATATATTTGTTTAATTTTATTTTAACCCTTTGTATAAGTATGTATATCTGTCGTCTGTCGCTGTCGTCTGTCGTCTGTACGTATGTACGCGTGTTTATCTTCTCTAATCACGACGACGATCAGGTATTAAACACGAATGGCCACTTATTATAGGCAGTAGTATATCTTCCTCTTCCTGCCTCGTCGTCCCCGTCGTCCTCGCCGTCGTGTCGTCGTAGTCGTAGTCGTAGTCGTAGTCGTAGTCGTCGTTATTAAAGCTTCGTTTAGTCGTTGTTGTCGTCGCTGTAGTCGCTGCAGTCGCTATTAACGCTGCCAACGTCGTAGCAGTGTTAGTCCGTTTTTATTGTACTAGTTCGTCTTGCTATTACCTTTATGCCTTGTTGACTTTTTACAAAATATAATATTAATTTGTGGGTGGAATTAAGGAATAGAACGGGAATAGTTTAGATCGACTAACAAAACGATTTTCTTCAATGTGTAAAAATAGCGCGCGTGCGTTCTAATCTTAATGTCATTAACTACAAATTATTTACGTTGATATAATACCTCCTTCTCTTTTTGGACTCCTATCTACTCTCTTCTATTATTCTTTTGCGTCCTTCTTTTTCCTTCTATTTCTTTCTTATTCTTCTTTCTACTATTTCTCTTTCTCCTCCTCCTCCTCCTCCTTCACTTCTTGGTCGTATCGTGTCGTGCAACCAAAATGCGATATTATTAATCCGTACCACTGACGACGCTCACGCTTAAAAGCGTCCAATGGTTTCAGCTTTTTGATCTATTTTTTTACTATGTTTACCTATTAAATCGTATGAACAAAAATATAGAATATATTTTATGTGTATAAGATTGGTAGAAAAAAAAAGAGACAGAGAAAGAGAGAGAGAGAGAAACAGATAAATAAAGAAACAAATATATAGAAAAGAGCAAGAGGGGTGGGAGAGAGAGAGAGAGAGAGAGACTATGAGTCGTTTCTGTTTCTCTTTTACATTTTCTATCTCTCTCTCTCTCTTTTTCTTTTTTTTTTTTACTCTTTTTCCCCTAAACTCGCCAAGATACACCTTTACATGAAAATAAGCAAAATAGCAGTTAATGGTTACTATGTAGTAACTTTGTCTCTCAATCGGCTCTCTTTTTCTATCTGTTTTTTTTTTATTTCTATTAATTGTCCTTTTTCAAACTCGTAAAATTAAATCTTTGTATTTTGAACAAATAAAAACTTTTTCCTTTTTACTTGATTTCTTTTTATTTCTAGTGTAAGTTCCCGTTGCACACCTTGATGCACAATCGACAGGTAAAACGATAAGATAAGAAAATATTTTCCAGGGTAACCGTAATGAATAATTTCACAATGTTTTTTGTTTATACTCGTCTTCTATCAACGAATGTCTATTAGAAGTTCAAAAATGACGATAAAAGTGATAATGAAAAAGGCAATTTAGATAAAAGTCAATTACATTATATGTTATTTATAAAAAAATAAAATTTCCCTAGTTTGTATACGCTCCTATTGGCTGAAAGCGAGGGTATATATCTACGAGCTAATACGAACATTTTGGAAATTAAATGAAATCACTTAAATATTACTTATTCTAAATATATGAAGTATCTAATTAAAACAAAATGATTTACATGATTTAAACATTATTTTTTTATACTCACACATCGCGTGCGCGAGTTCAGCGTGTTACAATATATATATACAGATAGTTAGATGGATATGTACATATAATTACATAGGTTTCACCCTTTCAACAAGGTCAACTATACTAATCCTATCAGAGCTTAAATAATTCAAATAGGACTTACCCGAGAAATTAATGTAATAATTGGTCGAATATCGATTTCATTTAAATCTTATTCGATCAACAGATGCAATAGGACAACAATCATTTTCATTTTCACTAAATTAAATTAGATAAGAAAAAATTGTGTGTTGAGGTTAATTCGTTTAAACTTAATATTTATAATACTTCTTGTTTGTCCAATTATTGTGATTTATTTTATTCAAATAATTCATTAACACATTTCACATTTTATTATTAGTCTCTAATCGCATTATTACACACTAATATTATAATGTTTGTAAGAATAGTTTTAAAAGGTTTTAACATCTTTATGATTCACGTAGTATCACTTAGCGACAGTTTAAATATACTTCGAAAAATATCGAGAATACGTGTATATATGTAGACTTTAAACCAGGAAGTCTGACAATGCCTTTCAGTCGTTGGATTATCTACTTAAATTGAGTAAAAATTTATTTAATAGATTGTACACTATATGTAACCACGGTATTATTTAGGTATGGAATTATATTTAATAAATAATTATGAGAAAATAAGAGAAGGCGAGGGGAAAAATAAAATCTAATAAAATTTATACTTATATAAAATATTATTATATATAATATTATACAAAATTTATATACTTATAAAATTTATAATATATATTGATATTTTAGATCATGGTTTCCACTCAGCACAACAACCATTATTTAAGTAAATATTTTTACGACTCTGGACAGGTAAAAACATAAACTAATAAAAATAGGAACTTTAATATTTGCTGATAATAAACAACAACAAAAAATATATTCGAAAACAATTCTTCAGTATAAATATGAATATAATGTTACCATGTATCAAGGACAAAGCATAATTTCTGCAACCCTCAGAATTAAGTGTGCAACTGTATATGGAGTCGTTAAAATTGCATTTAAGATTCATCCATACTTTAAATAACAAATTATTATCTTTTTATTTCTTTTTATTTCTAACATTTTAATTTTATAATTAATTTTATTAATTTATTATACATTTCGTGTTCGTATTTTCTTATCAAACTGTAAAAAGGGGTGATACTAATCTTCTGTCGGTTGCTATAGCAACGATTAACTATTATTTGTATTGTAATACACGTAACTTGTTTCTAAGCAAGTTTTCTAATTTAAGATAGTGAGAAGGGTGCTTTCTTTTAACTACGATCGAAATATTTAACATAAATAAAAACCTTGTTATCATTTGGATTTAATCAGAGAGATGGATATCAAACCACTCGATTTAATCGGAATAATTGGATTCGATGGTTCGTACTAATTTTTGAAGTTTTTTTTTATTGTTTTTATTCAATACTTTTCCCTAAATAAATATATATATATATATAATTTTGATTACTGTTTAAAATAAATGTATTGAAAAGTAATGGTGTTTTAATTTATTAATTTAAATGTAATTAATTAGGTGTTATGAAAAATGGATTAATACTGCATCCCGATGAACAATATTTAATTTATCCGATGGGAAATAAAGTGACGATTAAAAACATAGCCTCGAGTGAACAAACATTTTTAATTGGACATACGAATTTAATTTCTGCCGTATGCGTTTCTCCTTGCGGTAATTTTGTGGCTTCCGGACAAATAAATCATCTCGGATTTAAAGTAATATTAACATAAGAATTTGTGCCATTTTATTGACGACTTCAAATTTATTCTTTCTATAATTATTTTTATGGGAATGTTTTCTTTTTTTTTTTGTAATAGGCAACAGTCATCATTTGGGATTATAAAACACGTACCGTTAAAAGTAACTACGAAATTCATAAAGTAAGGGTCGAAGACGTTTGTTTTACATCGGATAGCAATTATTTGATAAGTCTTGGTGGAAGAGACGATGGTAACGTTGTAATATGGGACGTACAAAATAATCATGCTATGTGTGGTAAATAAAATTTTATCTTTAATCTATTTATATATATATATTGAATGAAAAAAAAATGCGTTTTCGTATACTTGATAATTAAATAACATTAAGATAATTTTTAGGATCATTTGCGAGTAATGAAATATCTGGTAATACTTACACAATTACAAGAATGAATATATACAGTGAATGTTTCCTTACTGGTGGTGATAGAACCCTTAAAGTTTGGCGAATAGATTCGAAAAGGAGGAAGGTGTATGGGATCAATGTAAAAGTAGGAAAATTAAAACGTTCGATAAATTGTATCGCCATCAGTGAAAAAGATAATGATGCTTATTGTGGAACGTCCTCGGGCGATATAATAAAAGCAAGGTCTTATTTAATTATAAAGCTAATAAATACAATTTGTAATAATCTAATAAGTAAATTATATTTTGATTAATTATCTTTATGACTAATGATTTCATTAAAATTTGTTAACATATATTAAACTTGTAGATTGAATTATCGTCCTGAAGGTGAAGAACAAATAGAACCAGTGATGATAGGCTGCTATTCAAAAATGTTTAAAGGATCGAAAAAAATTAATCTAGCAAAGGGTCAAATCGAATGTTATGCTGGCGGTGTTAACAAGATTTTGTTATTAAAAGATGAGAGAATGATCATTGGTGCAGGTGACGGTACAATTGAGCTCATTGAAATTGTGGATATTGATTTTAGTAAAAGAAAATTGACCAAATTACCACCGAGTACACCGCAAATTAAAACTGTAAGTGATACGACAAAAATGTTTTTATATAAAAAGTTATTTTTTTTTTTCTGTGCACTAATAAAATCTATCACATATGTAATTCCTTAAATCAAATGAGTGAAAAGTTATTTGGCAGCATCTTGCAGAAAATGTCTGTAGTACTGTAACATCAATGTTATTATACAAGAATGATTTTGTATTGGTTGGAACTGTCCTCAGCGAGATTTATCAAATAAGATTACGCGATTTTGATATGAGACTTCTTGTAACTTGTCATAACAGTTCCATATACTCCATCGTATTTCCTTGGTAAGATTAAATAATATATCGATAATAATGCAATTTTGAAAATTAATATAATTGTTGTTTTTTTTTCTTTTTCTTTTAATGTTCTTAGGAATTATTCTGAAATATTTGCAACAGCTGGAAAAAATGATATCAGATTGTGGAGATTAGAAACGCAAAAGGAATTACTTAGAATAACTGTGCCGAATTTTGTTTGCAGTTGTTTGTGTTTCTCTTACGATGGACGAATGATAATTTCTGGTAGATTTTTATACATATATATTTGATCATAATAATATCAGCTAATTAACAACACTTTTCTTTTATTTATTAAATTTATTCAGCATGGAACGATGGTATTGTAAGAGCGTTCACACCACAAAAGGGTAAACTTATTTTTACTATTCATAACGCTCATATAAAAGCAGCATCGGCAGTTGCGATAACAGCAGACGGAAAAAAATTGATCAGCGGTGGCTGCGATGGACAAGTAATTATTATTTTATACATTTATTATCCTCTTAATATCATTTTCATCTTCCTTCTTTATTAATATTGTCTATAGGTGCGTATATGGGACATAAAACCTGATGTACAACGATTGGTCTCAATTTTGAAGGAACACAGAGGACCCATAACATCTTTGTGTATATCCTCCAATAACGAAGACTTAGTCAGTTCTAGCACGGATGGTACATGCATAATATGGGACATAATGCAAGTATTAATTTTTAATTATTTACAATATTATTTGTTTTTTTGAGATGTGATAAATTGATGAACAACAAATATTAATCAAACAGACGTTGCTCGAGAAAGCAAGTTTTAATAGGTAACACGATGTATATGGCTGCATGCTTCAGTCCCAACAGTGTACAAATCTTGACTTGTGGTACCGATCGTAAGATTACATACTGGGAAACATGGGATGGTTCGATGGTTCGTGAAATCGAAGGTTCTACCTCAGGATCATTAAATTGCATAGATATTAATCTTGACGGAAAATACTTCGTCACTGGTTCAAACGATTGTATTGTTAAGCTCTGGGAATATCACACAGGCAATGTCACACACATTGGCATAGGTCATGCCGCGATAATAACTGCGTGTAAATTTAGCCCAGATGGGGAACATGTGGTATCCGTTAGCGCCGATGGCGCTATCATTATTTGGAAGTTTCCATTTAAGATAACGTCTCCTAAAACACCATCCATCAAATCGAAATCCTTATCGGCACATACTGTTAAGTCATTAAAGAAATCTGAAGGGAAATGCGACGATAATTTAAAGTTGGACAATTTAGAGGAAGAACATGTTTCTGCTATGAGCCGTGTGGATGAGACTGCTGAAAGTGTTAGAACTATGTACCATGGTAATAAACAAAATTCAAATTAATATTTATGAGATTCAACGTATTCCTACAAATAAAGTAATTCTATTAAATTCAATATAAATATATCATAGGTGATGATCAGTCACAACCATGTACGCGCGATCCAGCTGGTATACCTTCCCCAGTTTGCACGTGCATCAAAGACAAAGACACAATGTCGGTTGGTACAATTAAATTCTAATGAAAATACTACATTTGATTATATGTAAAAATAACACTAATTATGTTCTGTTGGTATACGATTTAATAAATATTTTGTATTTCAGGTAAAAACTGTGAAAACTGAAGAATCCTTTAATGCTTGTCGTTGCGCGAATAAGGTGGAAAAAAGATCATTGCTTAGTTCTAAATGTAGTCCGGCAAAGGTAATTGAAACGACGAACTCCGTATCATCGTCTAGTCAACGCCGTGCGTCACTGCAAAGCGATAAGAAATCTTTATTAAAAACGAAAATTACGACTGTACGAAAATCTTTACAATGAGGAGATTTTATAATTATATCGAAGTAATAGTTTTTTTTACTACTACGTGTGTATGAATGTGTGCATTTGTGTTGTAACAAACATGGTAATTTGGCAACTAAACGAGTTGTTAAACATATTATTTATCATTTGTCCTGAAATATCAGGAACAAGGAAATTGGCATATCGTACAAAGGAAAAAAGACGAGAGATGTAAAATATTTTGTAAACAAAGTTTTTTTTTATGAAGCTTTTTGAAAGAACAATTATGTAACGTATCATTGTACTAGTAGAAGTAACCATGGTTTTATCAAAAATCTATTTTAAAATAGACATATTTTATTAAACAGTATACCTGTGTCATCAGGTACACACATATTATTTTGGATAGAAAAAAAATTATAGTAAAATCAAATTGTTTAAACCATATGGTGAAAGAGATGAAATAAAAATCATATTCTCAGCAATATAGTTGTACATATAATAATACAATATGACCACAATTCGATAATTAACATCTTATAAAAATAATTAATTATATTAGGAATACAATACACATTCTTAATAAATTAAATAGAATTATAAATAAATATATAAATATATACTTATTGCCTTAAATGCAATTTATGTACATGAGAAATGTGTCTTGTAAGCCTCTAAAAGAATTATATTGATCAAAATTTGTTACCCGTAATAAAATGATACAACACAATGTTTAAATATCAAACAGGAAGTTTACGATTAACCCCACGCTGGACTTTTGCAATAATGAATGATCAATTTTCCATCAGCTCCATAACAATCATATAAATTCTTTAACGTTTGATCTGGTGCCGGTGCAAAAGTTTGATTTACATAAAGAAACTGAAAAATACAAAAGAAGAATATGCTCAAATAAGTAAATGAGGTATAAGAAAAAAATGTGGTTAAATATTTAATAGACTTACTAATCTTTCAGAAGGATCTAATTTGAGATATTTCCTTAGAAAATCTGATACCTTTCCAATTTGATAATCCTGATTAACGGACCACTTTTTTTGTTTCATGATAGGTGCATTGCCAGTTGCTTTCAATAAAATATCAACTGTAACTGAGTAGTGAAATATTGTTAATAGAAATATTGTATTTATTTAAGATTTATGTTATTTACAATAATAATAATTACCTCTTTCTTTATCCTTTGATGCAACTGGGGGACTATCGTTTCTAGTAGTATTAGTATCCTGTGATATATTTTCCAAACTTGTTGGTGCCTCCTCATTTGCTGTGTTATCAGTTAATTCTTCAGTTTTTATAACCTCACTTGTCGTACTATCACTTTCCTTTTCAGCCATTATTTACAACTTATTAATAACTTAACAAATTAACTTATTAATAAACTTAATATAATAAATGAAACGATCACAAATGAATCATGTATTGACTATGTCAAAAACACATTCGTTGTTCTTAATATATTTGTTGTTATCATATCATTATTAACCCTTTGAGTACTGAATATTTTTATCTAAAATGTTTTGTAGGAATAGAATTAATCAGATTCTAATAATAAATTATATTTAATAATTGAAGTTTTTGTTTCTGAATATAATTTAATTGATTAATATAAACATTAAATTATTTGACACGAATATTAACAAACACGTATATGTTTCGAACGATAAGGTTAGTAATTTTTACCAAATGCATATCTGCGTCCATAGCACTCAAAGGGTTGATTAAACATTCGAATAACCTGTGTTAACACTTAGAACCGCATTTGTGTATTATTGTTAAATTTGACTATGACACTAGTGCCACCTGTTATTTACCGGGAAGAGAAAGCATGTCATTTCGTTTATAAACGATAAAGCGAAATAAAGCATTAAATTTCATCAAAAAAATAAATCCAAAGAAAATAAAAATGAAGTATCTAAGATACATTTATTATTTTTAAAGTAATATTATAAAAAAAATATGAAATATATATTTTTATTCGATGTTTTAGTTGAGAAATACAAACGTATTCCATTATCGAACTTCAAATTTGCCACTAAAAACAGGGCTAATCAGAAAGTTATTACTTGCGCATGCGCAGATTGTTTGCAGTATTGAAACTACAAGTTTAGTAGAGAAAAGTATATGAAGTATATACAACTCATTAAAGAACATTGTGAATGTGTGTATTGGGTTATCCTACATTATTTTTTAAATTATCAAGCAAACGTATTTAAAATTGCGTTTAAAATACTATATTAATATTTACTTTTGATCTTTCTTTCACTAAGAGGTAATAATTTTAAATATATACTTTTATTCATTTTTAATATTTAAGAATTGCGCTTGCAAATGTACTACTGACACTAAGAACTTAACCTTATTTATAATAAAGTAAAAAACTTATAATAAAAGTAATAATCTTCGTTATTTGTTTGGTTTTTAAGATAAACTAATATAAATATTTCATTTTCTTAATTGATTTCTTTCATTATATTAAATGTAATCGTGTAAATATATTTTAAAGAAAAAAGTGCAATGTAATTGTCAGAAATATCTATAGTCTTGACACATACTATCATCATACATGGCATACACTCCATTTAAAATTTTTTATATATTTTTATAATCACATATGAAAAGATGTTTATTGATCAATACTATTATTTAAATAATATTATCGTTATTATTAATAGAAATCAAAATGCCAGAAGGAACAATGGATGGTGGTCGCATTATGAAAATGGAGGTTGATTATAGTAACAACTGTGATACAAAAATACCTGAATGTAAAAAGCTTGCTCGAGAAGGAAAGCTACATGATGCTTTAGATCAATTGTTAGCATTAGAAAAACTTACCCGAACTGTATGTATAAATTGATTGAAAAATATTTGATTATCTTATATACTGTCTAACCAAAAACATATAGACACAAGTATACAACATTTTTAGGGAGCTGATATGGCATCGACATCTCGAGTACTCGTTGCTATATGTGAAATATGTTTGGAAGCTAAAAATTGGGCAGCTCTCAACGAGCACATAGTTCTTTTGTCAAAGAGGCGTTCTCAGTTGAAGCAAGCCGTTACTAAAATGGTTCAGGAATGTTGTACTTATGTAGATAAAACTCCAGATAAAGAAACTATGGTTAAATTAATCGAAACTTTGCGTTCGGTTACAGAAGGAAAAGTAAGTTATTGACATAAACAATGTATAACACATTAGTGATTATTTTAATTTATAGATTTATGTGGAAGTAGAACGAGCAAGGCTCACACATCGACTAGCAAAAATAAAAGAGGAAGATGGAGATATTAATGGAGCTGCTTCTGTAATGCTCGAATTACAGGTATATTTAATTTAAAGTTAAAACAATATGCTCTATTTACAAAATAAATTATTAATATTGTGTATTGTACAGGTGGAAACATATGGCAGTATGTCACGTCGTGAAAAAGCTTCACTTATTTTAGAACAAATGCGTTTGTGTTTAGCTAAGAAAGATTTCATGCGAACTCAAATAATAGCTAAAAAAATTAATGTTAAATTTTTTAGCGATGAAAATGACGAAGAAACGCAAGCATTGAAATTAAAATATTACGAGTATGTAGTATTATTATCTATTTTTTTTATTTTTTTATTTTAACGAGAGTGTAACTTCATATGATTAAACTTTGATCTTGATTATTTATTTTTTAAGTCTAATGATGGAATTATCTCGACACGAAGGTTGGCATTTAGAATTATGTCGTCATAATCGAGCTGTACTCGAAACGCCAACTGTTAGAGAGGATCCAGAAAAAAGACATACAGCATTATCCCGTGCAGTACTTTATCTTATACTTGCTCCTCATGAACCGGAACAAGCAGACTTGACTCATAGGCTGTTAGCTGACAAGATGCTTGATGAAATTCCTATATACAAGTATAATATATAAATCGGATATTTTTTATTTTTTAAATATTCATTTAAAATTCGGACAATTTGTTAATACTTTAATACTTTGCAGAGAACTTTTACGCCTTTTCGTTAATCCAGAATTAATTAAATGGTCTGGTCTTTGTGAAATATATGAAAGAGAGCTCAGAGCAACGGAAGTGTTTTCTACATTAACAGAAGAAGGTCGCAAACGATGGGCTGATTTACGTAATAGAGTTGTCGAACATGTAAGTTTAATTCTTATATGCCCTTTACATATTAGGTGGTTTGGAAAGTCAAAAGTTTCGTTTTTCTTTTGTAAAAATGAAAATAATTTTTGCTTCGAGGTTAAACCTAAACCTTTCAAGTAGTCATAAATTAGTTGAATTTGATAAATTTAAGCTCTCGATCGATCTCATGTGTTACTATTTGTCGGTTTGCATCAACTAATGGCCATTATTGTGTCAGCAAAAAAAAAGAAACGACTTTCCGAACCACCTAATATTTGAATATTTTGTTGTTGTTATATATATATATCTTATTAAAAATAAAACAAATTATTTGTTCCTTTAGAATATTAGAATTATGGCAAAATATTATACGAAAATAACATTGACTCGTATGGCAGAATTGTTGGATCTTCCTGTTGAGGAAACCGAATCATGCTTGTGTAATTTGGTTGAAACAGGAGTAATTAATGCACGTACTGATCGTCCAGCTGGTGTAGTACGTTTTACAGGAAGTCAGGAACCAGCAGCTCTATTAGATACGTGGGCTGCTTCCTTATCAAAATTAATGAGTCTAGTAAATCACACAACCCACTTGATTCATCAAGAAGAAATGCTCGCTGTTGCACAATCATAAAAACATTGATTGATATATTTGAATCTTACAAAAGTGTATCGTTCGATGTATTTATTGTGCCCACAGATAAAATTTTATACACTATTGAACTTGGTTCTTTTCTTTTACATATATATATATATATCTAAATAATTTATGTTGGCAATATATATTTTCATTCACAGAGAATAAACAAAAAATTAGGATATATATTATATTGAAATTGAAAACAAAAAAAAAATTATTATAAAGGCACATCAAAAAGTACGTAATAATCAGATAAATAGATTAATTTAGAACGTCTGTGTTCATTCGTCTAATTATTGTTTGCTTCATTCGCTTACTTATTACCAACTATCACATATTACATATAAGCGGTCGATAAAAATGATTTACTTTTTTTTTTTTTTTAAAGACTTACCTTTTTCATTGATGTTCTGTACATTGATACAAAAATTCAACATAAGAATATACTATATATATATAAAATATATATTTTGCGCTAACAATCACGTTTAATATTGTTATAAAAATAAAAATTACTAATAAGTTGTATAAAACAGTACATATACGTACATATATATTTTGATGGATATTCAATTATTTCCTTGTAAGATTATTTCAAACAATTCAGTCATTTTATATAAAAAAAAAAATTAGTAGTCTACTATATATCCATAACGTTTAATATGTGTGGTGCAAATTTACATATACGTTGTGACAGTAACAACAAACGTACAAACGTACTGTTCTCATTTTATCAAATTGTTATTGATTGATATAATTTATAACATTATATATTGCAAAGAAAAGGAACCAAAACAAAAAAAAAAGAAATCTATCATTAAACTATTTATCAAATTATCGGTCATAAAAATGCAGTACATATTCTTTACTTCTTAATATGCATTCATGTTATTATTTACATGTTTTGAAAATATTGCAATCGATAGTTCTTGTATAAAGAAAATTTGGTGATAATAAAAGATACTACAATTTTTATGCTGCTGAGATAGAGATATGAATTAATATTATTTCATAATTATAATACATAAGTGTGTGTGTGTGTGTGTCTCTTTCTCTCTCTCTCTCTCTCTTTCTTTCTTTCTTTCTTTCTTTCTTTCTTTCTTTCTCTCTCTTTCTGTTTTATCGTATATTATAAAAAAATAAAAAAATAAAAACATTGAATTACACTATAGAAAAAGTAAAACATTATATCAATGAATATTTGATTGGACAAAAGTTGTCATTGTAATTTTCTAATATACTTGCACAATAATAGCTGCTAATGAGAATATTTTTACATTGAAATGTAACCAAATATATCCGTGCATATAATAATTAAAATGAGATACAGAGATTTAAGTGTCGATCAAATTCATAATTCTTACATAATTGTTTGTTTTGTTTTTTTTTTTTGTCTTTGTTAAGATATAACAAACGTTATTAATATTTTATTATCTATAATAATTTTTCTTCTTTACTAGGGATAATATTGTCTAATATTTGTTGTCCTTTTAAATAAGAATATGTGTGCATTTCTCATAATAGTAATAATAATAATAATAATAATGAAAAGTTCACATGCTCTGTTAATAATCATAATCTCTAATTATTTTAATGTAGCAAAAGTCGTCTTACTGTATAACGCAAATTATAACCAGGTTTAAATGTCCCCATTCATAAATATGTTTTATATGTGATGTAATAACACTTTTCATCTGTTTTTCTTTTTATATGAAATATATTTTTAATTGAACGTTTAAGGAAAAAAAAAACAAAAGAGAAAAGTAAGAAACATAGAATAAAAGCGATATTAACTTGATTATAATTCTGACTAATGTATAATAAGGTCGTACATATGAATTTATACGATAATACAAAAATATGCTTCTCCTCTTTCGTTTAGATACATATTACATACAATTGCCATATTTTGTTAAACTTTTTGCTATTAATTTTGACAACATGCACCAAATATGAATGAAAATTCATACAACGAAATTATATTTAATAAAAATTGTATTTGATAATTTTAGATTAGCTAATTTGAGGGAAGAGTTATTTGTCGTTCATCGATTTTKTTTGTTTGTTTCTTTTTTTATAAAAATTTTTGTTTGTTTTATATATATATGTATTTTTATTCGATATTGTACAGGTACTAAATCACATTTACGTCTTTCACAAAATCTCTAATTGAATATTGATATTTAATTAATAATAAAACAACATATATATATAATAGTTTGATTTAAGGGGTAACACCACTATAGAGCCTGAAAAAAAAAATCTCTTTTTGGGAATTTTTTTTTTTTTTTGCGAAAACTAAATGAGGAATAGAATTTCTTTTTTTGAGGGTTGGTTTTAATCATATATTATTGAACTATGTAAACAAATTTTTTTATTGAGTTTTCATACAAAATGGCATAGTCGGTATTCCTGACTGAACAAAACCCTGTTGTTTTTTTTTGTTTTTTTTCTAAACGGGCGGACTCCTACCTGGACAACTATGAGACCTAGAATAAAAAGTAAAAGGAATTCTTAATCTATGTACTATTATCTTGAGAAGTACATACGGATTTTTTCCTAAGTCAAATTTTGTGACAATGGCGGTGCAACTTTGATTAAAAAAAAAATCGTCTTTTCGACCAGAAAAAAAATAGTAGAAAATTGTTTTTATAAAATTAAAAGTTTACAATTCAATGAAAAATCGGATATGTACTTCTGTAGATAATACAACTATCAAATTATCTTCAAAATTTCAAGTCAATCGGTTTACATGATGCTCGAGTTTTGAGTCCGCCCAATTTTAAAAATGTAGTTTCAAGATAAACGCATTTAAAGTTTTGTTATCACTCATTCGAGACGCTTTGAGGCGCTTCGTAAAAATAAGATTTCGCAATGTTAATAATTTTGTTGTTGTTGTTGCTTCGGGACGATGTTCATAATATTTTTAGATGTCTAAAGTACACTTTAAGCGTAAAAAAAAACAAAAAAGTCGATTTTTTGAAAATTCTATAATGATGTTACCCCTTTAAAAAGAACTTAGTAAGAACTCAATTGTTTGTGAAAGAAGTATTACGCTATTAAGTTTATAGCATATACATGACAGAAATATCATCAACGTGTATGCGTTTCATATAATAATAATAATAGTAATAATAATAATAATAATAATAATAATAATAATAATAATACATTATATGAACGTTTATGCTATTCCATGCTTATTGTATTGTGCAAATGATTTATTTTCTTTTTTTTTTGTTTTTTGTTCTTTTTTTACTATTATCATTCGTTTAACTATTCTGTATGCTATTGAAAATTTTAAGGCACTTTGTCACTTGGAAGATATATTTTTTTTACATATATTTCTTTCTTTTTTTTCCCCCCTTTTTCTTTTTCTTTTTTTCTTTACCATAAAAATATTCTCCCTATGTTCCCACATTGACTAGTGCTTAGTACATCACAGCAAGCTTTTGCTTAAGTTCTTGCATTAGATGATACACATGGCCTGCTCCATCTATCTATCTATCTATCTATCTATATTATTATATAAATACAATTCTATATAAAAGTCAATAAGAAATATTCTGTACAAAGGACAAAAGCATCTTGCAGTTACAAAATTTGTTGCAAACATTGAAGTACATTGCATTCTACGAGACTATAATAGATTTATATATTATATAATAGGTAGCTTCAGCAGTAGTAAATACCGCATTAATAATATCTATTAATTATAATGTCATACGTAATTACAATTACAAGCATAATACATTTTTTTCTTCTTCTCATCCATTTCTAATTATAAACATACAAAGCACTTTAAGTTCTTGTATTACTTATTATCACTACTACTAATTACTTTTGACATAGACTCGTTGTTTTAAAATCAGATATAATATCTATCACATTATTGTGCCAGTACGCACTATCATTCACTATTTTATATGTATATATGTTTATACGTCGTATATCATAATACGTAGGTTAGAACTTAAATAAGTAGTGGCAAATATTTATTCACAACCGATATAAGAGAACAGACTCCGCTTACGGGTTCTACACAACGCTAGTGACTACTTTGTAGGACAGTAACAGATGCAAACATGTAACTCTTTTGTATCGGTTGTATGAATATATAGTTGCCACTATTTAAGTTCCAACCTACGTATATGCAAAAAATTTGACACTGGCTAGTTCAAATATTTGTAGAAAAAGAGATTACTAAATGCATTATCAATAGCAAATTTTATTTATTTGTTTTTTTAAATTATTCAACGTATTAAGTATAAAGCCTACAACCAGCAAATAAACGAAATTACTTTGCTAATATTTATCTAATACATAATTTATTAATTAGCACCAATTTAATATATAAGTATCCCAACTCTTATGAAGTATTATAGTAATAATCAGTTTTTATGTACATTTTATTTATCATTTTCCTCATTTTAAATGTAAGCTCCTGCACATACATATTTTCAGGAAAATATCGAATTAACTTTCTAATCGTGTATGGTTTAGTTTCATCAAAACTTTATCCTCGATTATATATATATGTATATATTTTATCAATGTTTTCCTAACTGTGCGTGTTTGCATTATCTTTACAAATATAAGACAAAAATTAAGAAACTAAGTACACGATATTGAATTGTTTGTGCTGACAATAAGTACAGCTTTTAGTTGAATTAATTATCCTTTCTCAATAATATAAAATAATTCATTATTAAAATGGAAGCCACTAATAACGGATGTTGTGTATACATATACATATATATGTATATATATATAAAAGAAAAAGAAAAATCCAAAACCAATTGGATTTTTGTTTTTTTAAATTACCCTTGCTGATTCTATTTCTCAGAATGCTTACTTTGTGTTGATAAATTCGAAAGAGTATCAAAACCGTACGAATAACTCATCCAAATGAGATACTCTTTGAAAATGAGAGAGAGATACCAAAGAAGATCCTCTCGTTCTCTTTGCTAATATCTTCGCATAGGCCAAGTAGATTATTACCCTACATGATTCAAAACATACCTCAAGGCTTGCTACGTATATTCTCATTGACATTGATGGTACTGCACGAAACAGTTCCACAATCCAGTTTTGTATCTAATGAAATAAATAAACAAACAAACAAAAAAACATTACTATATAAAATATAAAATATAAGAAAGTAATCTAACTTTCTAAGGTATATATCATATTAAATTTACCATTGATACCAGCTTGTCTAAGAAGAGAAACAGCTTCGGCATAGGAAGGAGGTGGTAACTCATTGGATCCTTGAGCTTGCGTGATGACTTCATAAGAAGGTGGTCCAGGTGTACCCATACCGCTGGTACCGACACTTGGGGAAGCTGCCAATTCCTGTAAATGCTATTGCAATGTTTTATAATTCATAATATCTAAAATTGTTAACCCTTTGAGTGGTAAATACTCTTGGCCAAAGTACTTCCCAGAGATGGAATATTTTATTGTTTGTGTGAGTTCTGTTCGTCGAATAATATTAAGGTTTGCTAACAATATTATTATTTTGGTTGGATAAGAATAAATAATAATCAATATGCAACTTAAAATTGCATTATTTATATATTCTTATCAACAAATGTATCACATATGTGGTTATACTTTATGCTGGTAATTTGTACTAAACGCACATATGCGTCTACAGCACTCAAAGGGTTAAAATATTTTATGTAATAATAATAATAATAATAATAATAATAATAATAATAATAATAATAATAATAATAATAATAATAATAATAATGAAACNTAATAATAATAATAATAATAATAATAATAATAATAATAATAATAATAATAATAATAATAATAATAATAATGAAACAGAAAGATCCTTGAGTATAAAATTATATGTTCGAGAATGATGATATAACGTTATTTTTATATTACAAATGGTTGACAATATTACTGGGTCTATTGTTGTCGAGCTTATCAAAACTTCTGTCTCATGAAATTCATTTTCATTTATGTGTAAATTGTATAATATATATATATATATATATATATATATATATATTATATGTGTGTTTGTATGTACGTATTTATGAAGTTGACTTTTTTTTTTCATTGATTCGTTGTGCGCAATATGCCTGAATATCACAATAAGTAATATATATATATATATATATGTATGGAAATGCATGTTACGTTGATGTATGTTTCATGTGTGTGTATGTATGTGAACGTATTTACGTATATACACATCGCGACATTGGTTAAATAAGTTTGCACACGTTAGCAAATATAACTTCGTTATATTAAACAAAAGAACAAAATTGAATTAAACAAAGAAAGAAAGAGATATTATATATATATATATAGTAAAAAAAAAAGTTAAAATAAATCGACTAACAATATCAATTGATCATTTTAATTTACACAGAAATGATAGATAAAGTAATACAGAAATAAGTATATAAAAAATTGCTTATTTACGTTGCTTATAGATTGAAAAAAGTATTCAAATAATAATTCAACAAAGAGCTGTGCAACGAAACGTTATCGCGGTAAACACAACAAAATTGAAATGTAACCACAATTATACATGTACATTGTTTATATTTTTACCCTATGTGCAAAATAAATGCAATGTAAAGGAAGAATAACAACAACAACACAACACAACAATCAAATGAAAAAGTAGACCAAAGTAAAATGATGAAAAAGAAAAGAAAACAAAAAAAAATATATAAAAGTGAAATGAATAAGATTTGTACCCTGAAAAGTTGTCGTTGATGATAGATCATCTGTATAACGGATTTTCTTCTTAGATATAGCATACACTTAACCGCAACCATAAATCCGGAACTAATGAAGATCGGTCCGATTAACCACATGTGACCAAAATGGGAAAATACATGTCCATCGGAGATATCACCAAGCGCGAACACGGTGATCGTAGTACCAACCGTGAACAAAACAACGCTTAATGACAGATAACTATAGCTGGTGCAATCGCACCTGCCGAAGGTGTTAGGCTCGTCATAACGTTCCTCAATTTGACGTAATCGGTTTGATAGAAATGGACTTTCGAACACCGTAGCCATGATTTTATTTTTATTCTTATTCTTAATTCCTTCTTCTTCTTCTTCTTCTTCTTGATCATGCGACGTTTTTTATTATTATTGTTATAATTTTTTTTTTTTATTTTCTAAACACCAGATTGGTCGATTCTAAGAGATTAGAATTACCTTATTTGGTATCTCTTTTTATTAATTTCCACCACAACAATAGATGATGATTGTAAAAGCACGACGAATATAACACGAAATACACGAAAGAGGTTAGAATTTTTTCATTGTCCAATAAGTGTGCACATATTCATATATACATACATATATACATACACAACAGTTGGATTAATCTTACTCCTTTATTCTTCTTTCTTTCTTTTTCTTCTATTTAAGATATTGCATTCCTGTTTATCCCTTTTTTCATCATCATCATCATCATCGTTATCAACGTTGTTTTGGGTTTATAGAAATATTATCAATGGTCTACTATAGCATCCACACATATATCAGTAACCTGTCTTCTTTGTATTTTTCTCTTTTATCTTCTATATATATATATATATATATGTGTGTGTGTGTGTATGATTTGGTTGCTTTCCTTTCCTTTCCCCCACGTTTTTTTTTAAATTATTAAAAAGAAGACATTCGATTCGCGCCACTTCGCTTCGTCTTTCCGATTGAACAAAAATAACTCGAACTTACGACTCGCTACACAACTGCACACTAACAATCTATCTTCCTCTTTCTCTCTCTCTCTCTCTCTCTCTCTTTCTTTCTTTTTCTCTTTCTCTCTCTCTCACTCTCTCTCACTCTATCTTCTCGTATATTCTTTTAGTTAGTAAGTAGTAATACCAATGCTAATACTAAACTAAACTAATACTAAACTACTACTACTACTACTACTACACTACTTTAAACGATGAATTCTTGCAGGAGAGGCACCCTGCTGCTGTTCCTCCTTTTGCGACTGTTCAACGAATATTCTACGGTAAGCTTTATTTTTATTTTTATTTTGCATAGATACAAGGAATACTTCCTTGAGAACAACGACAGATGGCGTTACATAGTCTGTCTCTTGTTTTTTCACGTATTTTGTATGTAAAATTTATCTTTCGACATCTTTACGAGTATTTCATTAATAGAAATATTAGTAATAATTATAAATAATGACGATAATATTGAAAACTTTGTTATATTTATTTATTTCTTTATTTGTGTAGTTATTTTTCTTATTTTTTTTTTCGACTCTTTTAGTAATTGTACGTTATTCAATGCAATTATATGCGATGTTGCGAATGAGAGCGATTAACGTCTCGTATCGATTACTAATCGTAAAATCGATTAATAGTCGATTACTTCACACAGTCGAAGTGCTATCTAGCGATCAATACTCGGATTAATGTGGTTTAAATGAATCTCCAATGGTAACTTGGATTCTTCACATAGAGATACGCTACACCATAAGTAAATTTTAATATACACTAACTGTAATAATTGCAAATAATTGTTTACGTAAGAAATACAAATATTATATCTGTAAATAAAAATTCTTATATTATTGAGTAATAACATTCTATTGTTATTACAAATAATTGCAAATCATCATCAGGTTTGATCAAATAATATATATCTATCTACACATTAACGCATATGTGTGTGTGTGTGTGTGTGTGTGTGTGTGTTGTGTATGATTGCGTGTATTTTATTATACGTATGAGTGTATATTAAATCGATTGAAAAGATAAATTGAAAGAGTTAAACTAATCCTTTGAAATGCTTGGTCGATAGGCTGGCTGCCAACTCGTCGATTAGTTCCCTGTATATGACCGGGTTCACGTTCTGTGCTAGTCGATGGAGGAGAAAGCAATCGCCAAAAGTAAGCACTTGAACGATGGTATTTGCCTTGGCATGCGCAAGGGTCCTCATCGAAGCTCGCAAAAGATAAACTCTTACCTTCGCTTGAGTGAAAACAATTATTCTGTAACACGAGTATCGAACGAGGAAAATATTGAAGTACAAATTACGTATATACGAGATATGAATGAAATGGGTTAATTAAAGAGATAGAAATAATTAGTGTTTACCTGTAAAAGATAGCAAAAAAGCCAAGGATCATAAGAAACATTAACCAGAACCAAAGAAAAAAGAAAACCTTTTCGTTCATGACGTTCAAAGAGAGAACGCAAAGAGCGTCGTGTATTTGTGTCGAACCAGCCGAACCGAAGCTGTACATCGTACACTTGGTAACCTTTGGAAATAGTCGGGTCATTGGATCTATCATATCGGTTAATTGTTTTTCCTTGGCAAATATAATTACTGCTATTCCATAACGTTTAAATTCACCATCGAATAATAGATCAAGTAGATATAATTGTCCTATCTGCGTGGATTCAACATTTTGTTGAAAAATCATTTTTTCCTCTGTTCTACATTTGTTTTTTTTTTGTTTTTGTTTTTGTTTTTCTTATGTTTACTTACCGTATTAACAAAATTAAAAAGTTCGCAAAGAAAATAACGAAAAGCATAGAAATTGTGTGTAGTACGAAGATCACTTTGAATGAAATAGTCGACTAGTTGACGTTTTCTATCCTCGGTCCAAGTATGTCGGTCCAAAAAAGAAGAAGTGGAAAGGTCCTTCGCGAGTAAAGCGACGGTATCCCTTTCCCATATTCTCCATAATGCTCGCGGCACGTAAAAGAGAATCGCTTGTAAGCCGAGAATAAAGCAGACCTGTTGCGTGAGAGACGCGTCTCTGTTGTTACCTAACTCGCGTTGTTTTCTCTCATGGACAGAAATTTCAACGACGAAACACCTTTTGCTTCGGACAATTTTACGTATAAAAAACGAAAGAGAAAGAGAGAGAGAGAGAGATTTTAATTGATGCCCATGGGGACACGTCAACGTTTACCTTGGTTTTTTGTTTTCTTTTTTTTTTAAATTTGACGCGTTTATAAATCTTTTTATAATTTTCAAAACTACCTATCGTAATTTTGATAATATTTTCTCGACATAGAACAACAAATCGTTGAAAATTTCTATTTAATTTTGTTCTCTTTCATGAAACTTTCAAAATTTGTTTAATAAAAAGAAATTCTAATTACATGTTGTTACAAAATTAAACAATATTTCATACATCGTCGATAATCGTGCCATCGAACGCCATCTATCAGTAAACATTTTTTAAGTATAAACCCCCTTTTTGTTAGGCAATCCTCCATACACGTATGAAACAATATTGACGTAGTCTATTCAAAAACAAGGGTTTTAAACAAATATTTCGACTGATAGATGGCGTTCATAAGCATTATTTCGAAGTGTGCAGGAAGTGATGTCTATTTTCAGGCGCGATTGTCAATTGTAAATATTTTATTAACAAAAGTGTAGCAACACGTAAATAGATTTAATTGAAAGAACATTTCTGTAACATTTGAATAAATGATTAGTAATGAATAACTGTCTAAGTTATCTGTCAATATATACACACATATAATGTGATGCTTTATAATGAATAAATTCATTTGAATAATTAATATTACTTAAAATGTCAAAGATGTAAAGGTGACTTCTGATAAAGTTTCTGTCCATTAATATAAAACATTTGAAAAGGTAAAAATCTAAAGTGACAGAATAAGGATATTATTACTAACCCACTGATAATAACGATGGTAGTATAATTCGTCGTCCTGTAATGTATTTCCTATTCCGGGACTTGCGACAGTTCGACCTGGTATTCCCTTTAAGTGACGTGCTACTGTAAACGTACTGTATATCCAGCAGTATGCGTTCAACGTCGTTCTGTCTATCGGGGGAGGGGGAGGAGGAGGGGGGGGGGTGGTCAGAGAAATATCATAAAGAGAAGTAAGAAAGTGGTAATTTATGAAGATGGGAAAGTTGAAGGGTAGGTGAGGGGGGTGATAAATATGTAAAAAGAGAGTGACGTTGACATCCACCATCCCTCTTGGTATCTTTCTGTTTCTCTTTTTCATTTTTTCTTAAATTAGTAACTAAGTAAGAGAAATTCTCTTTAAAATGCTAGGGCTGACTTTAAAAGAGAAAATCTTTTGTCCATGATGGTGTGTTGTCCTTGCTAAGAGGACTCAGCAGTTCTTTTAAAAAGTGGTACTTTCGTCCAGCCTCGAGCTATGTCCGATAACAACCACTAAACTACGTACGCACGAGAATGTGCGTGACAAAAGAAAAGAAAAGAACAGAAAAGAACAGAAAAGAACAGAAAAGAAATAAAGAAAGCAAAGAGGGAAAAAGTGTCTGTTAACACTTTAATTTGAAAAACCTTCGAGGTATTTGCTCGATGTATTTTTCTTGTTGCGAGTGTTAAAAGTGCACTCTTCACATCGATTCCATGTTTACCAACGACACTTAGAGTTCGTAATTTCAAGACAAATATTTTCTTCCCTCTTTCTCATCCTCTCTCTCACCCACTCTTTTCTTTCTCCCTTATTCCGAAGCTTTTCTGTTATCCAGTTTTTTTTCCCCTTTCCTTCCAGCTATTCTTTCCACCTATTCGCTCAGCTCATTTTCACGCGATAGGTGTTGTAATCGTTCTTGCTGGCGCTTAATGTACCTGTTAAGCTTTCCTCGATGTTTAATGAATCGAGGGACACTACGGTAGCACGTTTAAAAGTATCTGCCCTACTATTTATTCCGAGTAGATTGCTTTGCCACATTTACATTCTAAATTCTACATTCTACACATTCTACGATGGAAAATTGGTAATCGCAATTAACGTTAATTAGAAATGGCAGTTTCGTGTTGAATAATCAAAACATTTTATTACTTTGATTTTTTACTTTTATACTTATTTTTGTTTATCCCTATAGAACGGGTCTCTGATTGGAGAAAAAATTGGGAAAGAAAGAGAAAAAAAGAAGACATTAAGAAAATGCAAGACGAATGATACTAAGTTTGGTTTCAATGGAAAAGACAAATATAACTGCTTACCAATGCTGTGATCGGAGATGCAACTAATTGGTTCTCCTATGAACTGTTTAGCTGTTACAAGAGTGGCACAAACAAGAAAAACAAGAACCGTAAAGCGTGAATGTAACCTGAATGCAATGTTGTCAATGTGAATTCGATCTTCTCGAAGAAAACACTTTATGGGAGAAAATAATTCCAACATTCCACCAACTATTTCTTCTTCTTCTACTTCTTCTTCTTTAAATCTTTTTCGAGATTATAGAAAATAAAAGTAATTAGAACTTTTTTTGAAAACTAAAAGAGAAAAATACAGACAGACAGATAACTAGAATTGAAAAACTCAAGGTTCTTGTAACAAAAAAGAACAATATGACAGGTGTCAATTCAATGGACAATTTCAAACTGATATTATATTTTATCGATTTTTCTTTAAAGAAAATCGATTAACTTGAAGTATATTTTTTTCGACTTATTATTAATTAATTATTATTTAATTATATAATATAATAATATACTATATTATTATTCGCGCTCAGGGACAGGAACAACGTTAATAATAATAATATATATATATTTTATAAATTAAGATATAAACTATCGTATCTTTCAAGTTGGATGAAACTGCACACAGTGTGTAAAATTTTATTAAAATCGGTTTAGTCGTTTAAGAGTTCATTGCGGACAAACAACGTGACACGTAATTTTATACACGATATTTCTAAAAATATCAAATATGAAGTAATCAATTTGTTCAGTTTTATTTTCTCAAAAAAAAGACAAAAACAAAAAATATAAATTACTCGAAACATTAAAAATATTCGTTAAACACGATTACAGTGGTCCAACAAAATATGATATATCCAGGTAACTTACCAAATATCCCTATATATAATGGTTTGAGTAAAAGAAGCTTTAGTTGTGGTATAGCATCTTTTAGAAGAATACAAATACGAAGAAAGATAGGAGAAGGTGACAAAGCGACACCATAAATTTCACTTACTATTTGCTTGTTTGTGAGCTTGTGATTTTCTTAAGGTGGTGATACAAGGAAAATAAAAGAATAAAAGGAGTAGAAATAGAAAGAGATGAATAGACAGAAAAGACTGTGATCGAAATCCATTCGATTAAGACGAATTTTCTGCTCTGGAAATGTCGTCACCATTTTCTTGGACAATGATTAAGAGAAACACATCCTGACTTCTTTCATTCTTGGGATATAAGGAAATATCAAAATATCAATCTTCTAAATAGATTTTTCTTCTCTTTCAAAGTAAATCTCTTCTCCTGAAAAACAAAAAACAAAAAAAAGGATAAAATAAAAGGAACCTCGTTGAAAACACAGAGAAGATTCTTTTTAACCTCAACTTTGAGGTGAAACTTTATTAGTAAAAAATATAGTAATTATCATAATCGCAGTTACATATCGATGAGTTATCGTTATACCGGTAATTCAATGTAGCGCTGTGTCATGAACTCATAAATGCACGTCTATTGATATGCGTACGCGCATATGAGCTCGGCTAATTATTATTATTATTATTATTATTATTATTATTATTATTATTATTAATATTAATATTAATATTATTATTATTATTATTTTTATTATTTATTATTATTATATTATTATTATTATTACTTTTTATTTATTACTTTTTTGGTTGTTGTAAATATTTTTTTATTGTTGCTGTTACTGTCTCGTTTTTGCTTATAATTTTTATTATTCTCTCTCTCTCATTCATTCTCTCTCTCACACACACACACACACTCTCTCTCTTGATCATTATGAAAATTCATAAAATCCAACTTTACAATAATCTTCAGTTGGGGTGGTGGTAGCCATTTTAATAACGGCTCGCTCGCTCTCTCTCTCTTTCTCTCCCAACTGTTTTGTGTGTGCGTATTAACTAGAAGATTGTCTAACAACTACGGAAAAAAACACGATCTATGTATATGTACAAGCATAAACGCGTTGTCTTATCACATTTAAGGCTGACCCAGACGGAGCTCGCACTTTTCATTTCGACGTTCGTCTCTTGAGAATCACTCTGGGATGTGTGTTGTGTGTTGTGTCGAGAATACGCTCACAGTCCTCGCTCACGTCCATTTTTCCTTTCCTTTTTTTTTTTTTTTTTTTTTTTTTTTTTTTTTACTGTATTTTTCACCCTTCGTTATTTTCCTACCCTCTCGTTTTCTCTCCTTACACTTTTTCTCCTTTTTTCGCACGAACACGCTCGTATACACGCCCAATTTTCTTTACCATCTTTTTTTGTTTTCTTTTTTTTTATTTTTTTTATTTTTTTCTTCTTTTCTTCTTTTCGCTTACTTTTTCTTTTTTTTCCTTCTCCGTTAGCTTAACGTTCAATGTTGGAATAAACTGCACCGGCACGAACAAATTTACATCTTTTCGACGTTAGCGGTCTTGAAAAGGGCCATAACGTTGGCATACGTGTTCTGAAGGGATATATGCCGGAGAAAGAAAGAAAGAAAGAAAGGAAGAGGGGAAAGTAATAGAAACCAAGAGAAAAAATAGAAAAAAAAATAGAAAAACAAAAATGAAACCTAAACGAACGAACGAACGAACGAACGAACGAATGTACGAACAGTCGAATGGGGTTGAGTGAGGGCTGGGGGAGTAGACAAAATCCTAGATTCTTAACGATAAATTATTACTTGTCGGGAGATTAACCCTTTCGCCATTACGGGCGAGTATAGTCGCTCTAACATAAAATGCCACACTCAAATACTACGGACGACTATAGTCGCTATGCATAAACGCGGCCACTGTCGATTTTACTCGAGCACCGTGCACATTTTTGGTCGCCCTTAGCGAAAGGGTTAAAACAACGAGTTTAAAACCATTCCCATTTGATAAAGGTAATCGCGAAGCTATGCACTTTTTCTTTCTCTTTCTCTCTCTCTCTCTCTTTCTTTTTCTTTCCTTCTACTATCTTGATGGCCGACACGAGACGAGCATCGCGTCTATTCATCCCCTGCCGGTAATCAGGGGAAAAGAAGAAGAAAAAAAAAAACAGAAAAAAGAACGACGAAATAGAACTAAACGAATTTTTCTCTTTTTGCAATATACTTTCAGTAATTTTCGAACTCTCTCTCTCTCTCTCTCTCTCTCTCTCTTTCTCTCTGTTATATGAGTTGCATGTACTTATGAATGTGTATGCTTTTTATGTGACTGCATAAGTACATAACTTTAACATTTCGCGCTTAACTACCTTGAATTTCCTTTCTCCCTTTCATTCCTCTAACCCCCTCCCCTCCACCCCATAATATATTTATGTACGTATTTATATATGGATTAACAAGTTTTGCAAAATGGTTACACTCAACCCTCGGCAATTTTGAAATCGAGTAAATTTATAGTTTGAAAATTGTTATTTTGGTTTTCAAATGTAAATTTATTTTGATCCGGTATTTTTGGTTATAATTTTTTTTTGTTTATTTCATTGCGTTTCTTTGCAATATTTTTTGAATCACTTATTTTAATATAAAATGAAACTATTTTAATAATTGTGTGTGTGTGTGTGTGTGTATGATGCAAAACAATTTTTATGGACTAGTGGTAATTTGTGTCATATGAAATTCACACAATTATGGGATTTGTATCCGCGTTTAAAATTATTTTCTTGTTGTTGTTGTTATTTCAAGCACTACTAGGTTTCTGTATAATTATATATATATATACGGTTTATAGTGTGTATATTTTCCAAGTATACTTTTGCACACACTATGTACATAAATATAAAATAATATAAAATTGTTGAGGATACTCAGCATCGCGTATTTCAACATTTTTAAAGCGAATATCAACAATAGGATGAATTAAAAAGTCGTACGTACACACCACTGTGTGTGTTTGTGTGTGTGTGTGTGTGTGAGTAGGTTGTGTATATGTGTTTCTCGCGACGTGTAAATGAAAATCTCATTGTTTTTTTTTTTCGTTTTCATTTCATTTTATTTGTATCTTATTTTCAAATTAAAACAAAATTTTGTTTCAACCAATAGAAAGAACGTTTTGTTTCTTCCTTTGTTTTTTTTTTTCGACTTAATTTTCCCTCATATTATCTTTTATTTCATATTTTTCATTTTATTTTTCGAGCAACTCGAGTAAAACGCGAAAACGCGAGATGATGATCTTTTGGGTTAGAACAAATTACACAAAATTTCGTGTTTTTATTTTAACAAGTCAAATAATAACAATAATAATAATAATAATAAGTAATAATAATAATAATGATAATAATAATAATAATAATAATAATAATAAAAATAATAATAATGAAGATGCGATCTAAAAGTAGGAAAATATACGAAAGGATAGGTTCCCTTGGGCGAGTAACCAGAAACGCTTTTGTTTCCCTTCTTTAACGAACTTTTATGATATTATTATTTCGCGATAAACTTTAGCATCGGGCTGCTTCCTCAACTCGCCATTACTCTCCTCCACCACCTCCTCACCTCAGTTTGCCTTTTCCATGGACGTATCCTAACGAGAAAATAACAACGGCTTATGCCGGACCCGCGCGTACCAACGGATAGAAAGGATTTACGACTTTATCGAGAATTCATTTAGCTTTTTATGAAGCTACCAACCACCACCACGGCAGTGGATAGTCCAGATGGGAAGAAGTTTGGTTAGTTGAGATTGTCACATTTTTTCTATTATTGATTCTTACCGAAGGCAGGATTTAACAAAGAGAAAGAAAAAGAGAACAAAAATACGAAAGAGAATGTAGAATTAAAAGAAATAAAAAAAGAAAACAACAGAAAAAAAAGTCAGATATAATAACCGACAGATAAGAGAAAATAGATTACCAGCGCGGTTAAACTTAAATCTAAATTTGACGAGAAAATAATAATAAAAGAAAAAAGAAGAAGAAGAATAAAAGAATTGAAAAAAAGATTCAAAATACTTAATGTGGATTCTCATTTTCTCCCTGTCGGTTCCGTCGCGAGTCATCTTAACAATGTTCCTTAATAAAATCTGATATAACTTTGTTATTTTATTTATATATATATATAATTTATTATTTATATTTATATTTATATTTATATTTATATATATATATATATATTTATATATTTAAAAATTTGCATTAGTCCTCACCGAACACGAACGTCCATTAATTAATTTTTTTTTTTTTTTTTATAACTGTGAGCAAGAATCCGTGCATCATACCTTTTTGTTTGTTTTTTCCCCATTATTCGTTTCCATTGTTTCTTTTACGAAATATTCCTCCGTATATATATATATATTATAATATGGTTAGTTTGAAAAATGGCCGTCAAAATGCGGGATAGAATTTTCATTGGCACTTTCGCGTCCTGGGACCTATGGGAATACACGGACGCGTGTTATTTTGCAAGTATATGTATATTCTCTCTCGCAACTCATACGGCGATGTAACGATAAACTTTTTAACGACTAGTAATAACTGTTGCGAGTTGACAGTTGTTTATTATCATTCGGTTTAGGTACGAAAAGTAAGATATTATTTTGGAGGAAAAATCGTGCAAGTTTGAGGAAAGTTTTGTCGTCGTGATCGAGCGAAGGAGAACAAAATGATCGACCCAACGGCGACTATTACGACGACGACGACGACGACGACGACGACGACAAGCACGAAATTCGCGTTTTTTGCGCTCGTAATTCACGAAAGGATTGTAACGACGATATGCTGAAATTTGCGTCAGCTCAGAACGCTAATACGGTACGTGAATGTCTCTAGAACGAGAACGGCGTTTACAAATACGACACACCACGATGAGGCAAGAAACTGCAAGTAGTATAGTTAAGCCAGCACCAAGTCCGGCACCAGCCCAACCAGCAGGACCAACGACACTTCCACCGTTCGATCCAAGGGGACCAGCACAGCTTTCGAGAGACTCGTCGTTAGGTTCAGGATGACTGTTGTTACTGTACGGGATTATGATACTCGAACTAATACTGGGACAATTGACAACACCGTTACATACCAATCTCGTGGGTATGCAACCGGCATCACCTGGACAACGGAAGCCACATTCCTCGTCGAGTTTTTGCGTATTCAGTCCACCCGAGCTGTCCCTTGGCAAATGATAAAGTTCGGTCCAAGCGATTTTAAAGGCTACTCTTGCAGGAGCCATTGATCCGGTAAATTGAATAATTATGTTTGAATATTCCGTGTCGTCGTGATCAATTGGTAAAATTTGACTAGCCGAAATTATCGGCATTTCTCTAACATAGCTTACGTTCTCCCCGCAAATCCCAAGATAGGGATCGCTCGATCCGGGAAGAAAGATCTCGAGTTTGCCATCCTCGCACGAACGAGAGGCAAATTTTATTTTGTCAAAATGTAGCCACAAGTCTCGATCCAAATTGACTCTTAACTCCCAAATACACTTGATCGATCTCGGTGGTGCAACGAATCCTAGTACCTCGTAATGAGGAAATTCGATCTCGCCGTCGGTGGTAGCAGGTAATATGGCAGGACCACAGAGTGGACTGTGAGCGAATTCGTAATTGGCTTCGAAAATCGGCGACGGTTGTTTGAAGTAATTCGCTGCAGCTCGAACACCGTCTATTAGAAACTTTAGTTCTAGTTTCTCGCCACGGGATACTATTCTGATAGGTGATATCGGTGTACCATCCTCCTCGTCACGACGACATATACAAGTACCTTTAACACCATCCGGTCCAGGTTCTCGTACGATCAATCTATCGACTCGACTCTCCCAACAGTGACCACAGTGACCCGTGGAACGTTCCTTGAACGATACCGATTCGATCGTTAGAATCACTCGAGCGAAAAGTCTTTTGTCCGTGAGAAATGTATACGTGCAGGAAAGATCCACCGGTGGGTTTCCAGGTCGTTTATAAATCAACGTATTCAGGGGTGATCTCAAACGTCCAGCACGATCTCTCCAAGAAGTAAACTTTTCGTCGCATTCTGTGCCAGGTACAGGCTCTCCAAATCTCGTAGCATTAAAGAAATCGTAATGTGCCCAATAATAAAGGGAACTACCAGAATAACTGCCGGTTTTACTTTCAAATCTAACGAATAAAGCGTTGGAGGTTGAGACAAAATCGTGCTTCTCCATGGGTTTGCTGAAGGTATCACAAAAGGTCTTGATTATTCTAGCATCGTCTGGCCAATCCGCATCGTAGAGAGTAAGGCTCTCGCCGCAGTCACCGTCGTAAGGCTTGATGGGTGATTCGATTCGATTAACACGGAAACTTGGAAAATAAAGTCGGGCAATTTCGCCAGGGCGACCTCTGAGCAAATAGGTACAACTCGTATGAGGTGGATACCAGTGGGCGACGGACAGAAAAATACCTTCGTTACCGCGTTCAAGGGACTCGCTGTTGAGTAGCCAGTCGCAACTACCGTTTTTTACGCCCGCCGTCTCGACGTGACCAGGCCAATTGCCAACATTGAAGTGAAAACCCGTGTTGAGTAGGGGACCGGCTGGTGATGAAACAAATTCGACATAGAGATCCTCACTGGTTCCAATTATACTATAGGGAAATTTCCCCATACCGCAGAATGTACCGATCACCGGGCTATTTTCATCCTTCCCATCAAAGACACGTATATAATCGTAGGGACAATGTTCCGAGCCGGAGCTTATCGGTCTCATCGGGCAGGTCATTATATTCTCGCATCGTTGCCCGTCGATATTGAACTCCTCGTTTTCTATGTAGAGCTTTATAAATGGCAAGCGTGTATTAAGCTTGTATTTACAATGCAAAGCTCGTGGATAAATACCCGGAAAGGCCGGGCTCTGTACGTAGCACGTTTGCAATCTGCAGTCCTTAAAAACCCTCTCGCAGTAACTCCCAGGCACGATCTCGCCCCTTCTGTTTGGATAAAGTTCTGGATGCTGGCCGTACCTCAGGTAAACGTCGAGCTGCTGCTCTGCCCGCGAGTCGAAACTGAAGTAAGTTTGGTCCGTGAAGTTCTCTGCGTGGAAGATCACTCGTACGAAACTCGTCTCGGAAATGAACGTTTGCGGTTGTTCGGATTCGCCACAATAGACACCCGGGTCTTTACGATTGCTCACCTCGGTTTTCGTGTTGCCATCTATGATCTGCAACAAACAAATTAAAAGGAAGAACAGAAAGATAGACAGAAGGAAAGAAATAAATAATGGAAATAATAAAAAAAAAACAAATAAGAATTTCTTTCTTTCTTTCTCCTCGTCCAACCAACTCGTTCTCCTCTCGAGACGCCCTTGTTTTTTCTCAAATTGATTTTCCTCCCTACTACTACCACCCCACTAGCTTTCTACTCGTCGGAGAGTCCCAGGGCCAAAGAGGGGCAAGTGTTCTCGCTGGAATTAATCCGCGGGAGGGTGCGAGAAGCAGTGGAGCTTGCGTAAACTTTGCTTTCCGGCGAACTGTCCTTACGATTTGTGTTTCTACCATAGTAGTCGTAGGTGTGTTATTCCTCCAACGTACCGTTACAAGAATCTTATTACCAAATACACTGGACTTACCTGAAAGCCTTCCAATTAAAATTTAACAGACAAACCTAGGAACTTGTATCTCACAATGGTGAGAAAACACGAATCGAACATGAAAACTTATCCTACCAACAACTTGCAAAACATTTCAACGAAACTTTACTTACTAACAAGAAGTAAGAAAATCTTAGTTAAGTGAATTTATTTGTCCAAGTCTATTATTTAGATCCATCCGTCCATCTATTTATCTATCCATCTATCTATCTATTTATCTAACTATCTGTATGTCTATCGAAGAACATCCGACGTTTCTCAATTTACGAAGGAAATGGTGAGAGTTGTGGGAAGGTTAACGAGACGATAGAAGGATAGGAGTCGAAAGCGGAAGGCGAAGCATATCTAGTGTTGCGCGCTAATTAGGCTTTGCGGTAGGGGCCATCTCGCAAATTCAATACCCCAGCTGTAGTTCGCATGTAAACGATCATTGCGATAAGCCGGCCAGGATAAAGCGAGACTCTGTTCGGTAGGATTAATAGACCCATTACAATCTATACGCGTGATCGAGTTCCGTCCATTTTGCCCTGCTGCGATTGCCAGTCTGTTTGCGAGCTCGACTTATCTTTTAACGCGATCTCTAAAGAGAGAACGAGAGAGACAGAGAGAGAGAGGGGGGNGGGGGGGGGGAGGGAGAGGAAAGAGGCGGGATGAAGCGCTTTGATGGTTGTTCTTCCTTGATAAAGAAAGATAAAGCAAAAGGGAGAATATTTACTAAGTTTCTACTTGGCTAAGTAGAAATGACTTGGTTGTGATAATAATGGACATTAAATGGATTAAATAAAAAAAAAAAAAAAAAGGTATAATAACCTACTCGAGGATCGAAGCGAACTTGCTTGTCTGTAGATAATTTGAATAATTTAGAAGAAAAGTAACGAATAGATAAATAAATAAATATTATTATTGTATCCTAAAAAAACAAAAACTATTCTCTCAGTCGTTAATAATAAGTTATTAATAAACTGTCAAAGGTATGTTCGGTAGATCCTTTGAACGTACATTTATTCGACTTTTAGTCGAACTCAAAGAGGGAGATGTTCAATGTTCTTACAAGCATGTGTATCAATACTAGAACATCGTTACATAGCAAGTCATCGTATCGTCCGTCTGTTCAGCAAACGTTGCTTACACGATGTTGTCGTCGGTACCGTAATCAAAGTTTCACTTGATCGTACTAGTGTATATATATACACATATATACTTGTCTCTATGAGTAGCAGTAATAGTGGTGGTGCAAAGACCTTTTACCAAAGCCCTCTCTTACCAAACCATTTCTACCTACTTAAATACCTAAATACCTACATAAATACTTACCTATCTATCTATTTATCTATACGTACGTAAGCCAGTATAATACGATTTCATAGGTGAATTTACGGAAACTATGGCGGCTTGAGGATATCAAAGCAAAACGTATTTATCAGGCTCAAGAGAATCTATCCATCAGCGTTATCTTGTCGCGAATTTATTTTTAGCTACGACGTAAAATATTGTCGCATAGGCAAATCTACATACATACACATATATATATATATATATATCTTTATATCTATCTCTATTTATCTATCCATCCATCTATCTATCTGTCCATCTATGTATGCATCTATCTTTTAGTTCTTTTCAAACCACTTTCTTTCACGAAGAAACTTATATAAAGTAATTCATAAAGTTTAAATCTTACCTACAGTTTATTGATATATATATATATGTCTGATGATATAGTCGAATTTATTTAATCTAAAAAAAAATCTATAAAAAAAAGTAAATATATACCATTTGAATAATTTTGTTGAAATAATTTCGTTTTTTTTTGTTTCACAAATGAACAAGCTAAATGTGGTACATCTTAATCAGAACTTTACCAGAAATGACGAAAAAAGTAAATTTGGTAAATCAATTTTTTGAACAATTGGAGTTCACTGAACACATTCTTTTTGTAAACGGTATATAATTTTTTGTTTGTTAAACGATGACGATAAATCTAGACGTTAAATTTCTATTTTTAACTGTGGTAGTAAAAGTAGACTTCTTGAATAATCGAAAGGCAAGAAAAGGTTTTAAATGACGTCTGACATGTCACTCGTGAAAGAATAGATTAAGATTAAAATTAAAATTAAGATTAAAATAAAGATTCATTTAAAAAGAATAAAAATAATCAATAAACGTGATTAACGAAAATAATATACTGTGGTGAAAAGAAAAAGAACTTTTCGACCAATTGTCAATGTTTTTAAGATTAAGATTAAATTAAAAAGAATAAAAATAATCAGTAAACGTGATTAACGAAAATAATATACTGTGGTGAAAAGAAAAAAGGACTTTTTGACAAATTCTCAATGTTTCTTTTTACGACATAAATAATAATCATAATATATACGATAAAAAACACGATCTTTAATCGTGCTCACTCTGTCGTAGTTATGTATCACGAATAATACGATTTCATAATCGAGATATCCATGCTCGAAAAACTTTATCCCTCGAAACTTTATTCGTGAAGTTTCTTTGTACTTTTTAATAATTCCTACTATCGTTCGAGAATCGCATATCTGAATGGGGGCCCTCCAGCTAAGAGACAATAAATTATCCACGATAAGATATGGGAGCATATACCTACTACCCCATCGTGGAGGAAAAATGAAAGGATAGTTTAACAAAAAAAAATAAAAAAAATAAAAAAAATAAAAAAACCGAGAAGAAGAGACAAGGAAAGGTAAAAGTAAGTTTTAAAAAGAAATAAGTAAAAAAAAAAGCAAGATAGAAAAAAAGAAAAAAGGGAGAAAAGAAGAGAAGAGAAGAGAAGAGAAGAGAAAAGAGGAAACGAATTCTGATCGTTCGTAAGTAGAAAACGGTACAATGGAAAGTATGGGGGAAGATCGTAATAACAATGATGATATTCGTAGGGTTTTCAGAGAGAGAAAGAGAGAGAGAGAGAGAGAGAGAGAGAAACCCCTTCGTCGAAGAAGCATCTAGTATAATACTTTAAAAGTACCATAATTGTGGTAGAGTTCCTACCAATGCGAGTGGAGGTGATAACAGAGAGGGTTGAGGGAATGAGAGGAGAATGAAGAGGAGGAGGAGGAGGAGGAAGGTGGGAGTGTAGTTGGAGGTAGAGGAGGAGGAGTAGAGGGAGAAGAGGAAAAGGGAGGGAAGAGCTGCTCGGTGTTAGGAAGATCAATAGTCGTTTTGCAACGACGTTAGGAGTACTCTAGTGTGCATTACGGACGATATTTACCAACGAATATAGCAATTTTATTCACCGCTTTTATCAGCGTTGATTAACTCTTCGTAAGCTCTAACCGGTTATGTGTTTTAATGAGGAGAGAATGAACGAACGAACGAACGAACGAACGAACGAACGAATGAACGAATGAACGAACGAAGGAAATATTTCTTACGATGGAAATTTCTATTTCTCCCTCTATCTATTTATCTCTCTCTCTCTTTCTCTTTCTCTTTCTCTTTCTTTCTAGTTTCTCTTTCTTGCAGAGCAAGGAAATTCTCTTAATTTTCGCAGCTTTGGCTTTGCCAACGTATGGTAAATTTCGAAATATGCGGGGCAGCCCTTTCCATCCTCGATTAACGAAGATTATTCACGGCTATGTACCTTTCTGACTTAGAGTTCATTCATATTCGAGTTGGTATACTCGTCTGATTTTCAAGTAATGCTGAGAGATATGTATGTATGTATGTATGTATGTATGTATGTGTGTCGGCGGTATTTATGTATGAGTGTGCTCGTGCGTACGTTCGTGAATTTATAATGGAAGGAAGAGGATTTTGATTGGTTATCATATATATATATATATATATATATTTTATTTATTTATATATACATATAGATATATATATATGTTATTCACATATACAGTGAAATTGATGATACTCGATAGATGCGTAAAATAATGAACGTATAGTTCGTTTGTTAGTACGAAGCTAACAACGAGTATGCGTTCTTAACGAGGAATTAAACGTTATTAATTCTGTACACTTAACGATTTATATTATTGTTATGCATATACAGTTATGTATATTCATATTTACGTATATATATATTATTCTTCTTCTTATTATTATTTATATATTGTGTGTATAGATATATACACAAGTGACACAAAGTTATTTAAATAAAAATACATGATATCATTGTAATTAATCTTGATAAATTTTACATTATTGTTTTCTCTACACATTTTATTTTACTTCTATTCTTTATTGTTCTTTTCATCTCAATTTAACTTCATTCATTCATGCACAATTTGACTGTTAACAAACAAAAAAAAAAAAAAAATCCATAAATTTATAATAGATAAATCGTATGATTTATCTGATATAAATGATTCTCAAGATTTTCATGAAACCATTAAAAGGGATTCGTTTGAAAAATTGTGTTCGTAACCATGGATAATAATAATAATAATTGTACTATATGTACGTGTAATTTATATATGTGTGTGTGTGTAAAAGAGGAGAAAGAAGAGGCCTTGTTTTTTTGTTCTTTTGGCCTTTCATAATATAGCCGAATACCCAGGGCCAATTTCGCTCGTCTAATATTCTGACTGTTCCACCGGACCAACGCGCGCGCAATTTGTTCCGCTAATTAATTGCACGACTTTAGATGAAGGATAGCTTGCCCAGCCGTATTTCTCTCGTTAATGGACGTCGCACAATCAGCCGTCCAAGGCACTATGCATTTCGCTACGAACAATGCGTTTTCATCCATCCTACCCTTCCTCCTCTCGTCATTCTCCTCATTTCCCCATTCCACTAAGTCTCCTCGTCCCCTTTTCTTAACCCCTCTCTCCCTCCCTCCCTCCCTTTCACCCCAATCCAACCTTCTATAGAATCATAAACGATTTTAAGCGATCCTTAATGCAATAAGAAATTTCCTTTCGAACCAACAAAAGAATATCCTTCCATCATCTAAACAGAAACGTTTCTACCCATCACCTTTCAAGAATTTCACACAATCTGAATTTTCAGATTAATATTTGATCTTCATGCTGTTTAGAAATGTCGTTGATATTTTCGTGACGTTGGAAAAACTTTAAAGTGAACTTAAATCATGTAAATAAATAAAATTATGCGAAATGTATGTGTGTGTGAGGCAGGGGTTTTTTTTTTGTTTTTTGTTTTTTGGTAATAATTTGTGTGCATACGTGATTTAGGTATTATTGTTATGTGAAAAAAAAAAAAATGAAATAAAAACAAGAAACTTACCTGCAGATAACCACCGGAACAAGTTGTAGCATTTTCCAATACGCCAACTTTGAATTTTTTGAAACGTACACGAAGAATCCAATCTCTAGGTGTACCACGAAAAGCACGAAAACGGTACCAACAGTAAAGTGGTTTTCCCATGTTGGCAGCGGTCACTGCAGGACTAGAAACATCCTCGTAGATGTCCACGGTCTTGTTGCAGTGGCCACGATCCGCTTGTAAATGAAAAATTCATTTGTTCGTTAATTATCGTGAAATTTTTTTACTTTTCTTTTTAATTAATTCAAAAAATATATATATCTGAACATATTTCAAATTTGTATAAGAGGATTGGTCGATGTATTCTGATCGATCGATATTTAATCATTTATAATATCGATAAAGATTTTAACAAATTTTCCTGCATTTTATCTCAATTATTTTCTATACGTTTACATATGTGTAGTACATATGTGTGTCTGTGTATGTGTATGTGTATGTGTGTGTGTGTGTGCACACATTAATAATGAAAATCTTTTTCTCTCATGAATATTACAGATACTTGATTAAACGAATTTTATTTAAAAAAAAAAAGAAAAATTACATTATTCATCGATAACGATCAAGTTTAACTTAAACGTTCTGTAAAGGATTAAAAAAAAGGAAAAAGAAAAGCAAACTTTTAGGAAGAAAAATATGAGAAAGATAGGAAGAGTTAAAAGGGATGGATGAGATATAAAGGAAAAAAAGAAGGGGGAAAAAAAAAAGAAAAGGGACAGGGGAAAGTCAAGAAGACGAAGAAGAAGCGATAGTCGATCATCTTGTTGCACGACACTCATAATCCCCATCCACTCGTAACCCCCTAGTCATGTATCTTCCAGGCGGCCCTCTCCGGAGGGTGGTCGTCGTCATCACTCGAGTTCCCTTTATGTCGTTGTCATTGTCGTTGTCTTTGTCGTCGGTTGATGCCACCAACCCAGAGTAGTATCAGGTGGAAAAAAAAAGAAAAGAAAAAAAAGGAAACAGAAAGAGATAGAGAGAAAGAGAGAGAGAAAGAAAAAGTATCTTGGCGAGATACCAACGAGATCATTCAAGGAGAAGTGTCCTATTAGAACGAGTATTATCAAAAGAAAAGAAAAGATAGGAAAAAAAAAAAAAAAAGAAAAAAAACAAAGGGAAAGGATGAAAAGAAAGTATGAAAATAAAGCAAAAACACAAGAATATGATTTAAAGGAGAAGACTGAAAAAAAAAGAAAAAGAAAAGGGAGTGATAGAAGTTGAGAATTGTTGAAAATGTAACACAGAAAGAAAGAAAGAAAGCAAGAAAGAAAGAATAAATATAGAAAATAAATTTGTCACCTGTCAAGACTCACAAATGTCTTTATTTTTCACGAAAAATATAAAGAAAAGTAAAAAGATAGATAGAGCGAAAGAGAGAGAGAGAGAGAGAGAGAGAGAAAGACCGAAAGACGCTTAATCGATTCGGCTTTTGCCGTGTTTGCTACGCCGCGAGTTATACCTATATACGGTATGGGGTGAGGGTGGTACTAGGGGGTTGGAGTGTGAGGGATCGAAGGTAGGAGTAAATTGTTATTGATTTACCGTCTGTAGGGTCTCGCATCGTTTGCTACCTAATGTAAGAATCGTATGTATATATATATAATATATAATATATATATATATATATAAATGTACGTTTCATATATATGTACATACAATGTATGTATGTATATGTATTTTATATTATTTTATACTCGATCTGTTTTATTTCCCTTCTCGTGATAACGAAGATTCGAAAAAAAAAAAGAGAAAAAGAAAACCGAAGGAAACTGAAAAGGAAAGGAAAGGAAAGGAAAGGAAAATGCACAATACGATTTTCGGCTTTGTATCTACTATAAAGTCCTCTTCGGCTGTCATCTTCCTCGGAGACAATCGTCCTTGTCGTAATTCTTCTATTGAAAACCCTCACTGGTTTTATCGGACGACGAAGGAATCGTATCGATCTATTTCTCTCTCTCTCTCTCTCTCTCTGTATCTATTTCTCTCCTCTCTTCTCTCTTATTTATATAAACTATCTCTCTTTTTCATATGAGTATAAACATACAAGTACTCTCTCTCTCTCTCTCTCTCTCTCTCTCTTTCTCTCTCTTTCTCTTTATTTATCATAAACTATCCCTTTCACAAACATACATAAAATCACTTTCTCTTTATATATATATACTAGGGGTGCCCCGCCACGCGTTGCTGTGGTTCACAATCAGTCCGATACACACGTCTTTCGCAATAAAATAATATTGCGAATTATAAATTGAAATATAAACTATTCTATCTTTCAAAGTGGATGAAACTGCACACAATGTGCAAAATTTTATTCAAATCGGTTTAGTAGTTTACGAGTCCATTGCGGACAAACAACGTGACACGTAATTTATATATATTAAAGAAGATATCTTTTATTCTCCTCTCTTTCTCTCTCTCTCTTTTTCATACATTATCTCTCTCTTTGTTTCATACGCATCTTCTTTCTCTCTCTTTATTTCTTATAAATTATCCTCTCTCTCTCTCACACACATATACACGTACGTACTATCATTCTCTTTTTTTCTATCTCTTTCTCATACACAATTTCTCAATTTCACAAAAAAAAAATAGCACTTCCTCTCTCTCCCTCTCTCTAGTTTTCTCTCTTTTTTTTTCTTTCTTTCTCTTTGTGTCTCTTTATCTCACAATTTCGTTTTCTCTCTCTCTCTCTCTCTCTCTAACTTTGTCTCTCTTCTCTCTTGGTTGGTCCTCCTCTTTCATCGATATAACTGAACGTTCGATTACTTTTCGCTTTTATATCAACTTCGTCGTCCGTCCTATCGAATACAAATAGGAAATTGGGAGATGAGAATGGGAGCGCAGTATCTCGACACAGAGAGACAAGAAAGTGGTCCATTGGTATATATACATATACATATATATATGTATACAGCAATACATACACATATATGTATAGAGTATATATGGAATATTATATAGGGTGTCCCACTTTAAAATGGGCCATATCAAATCGCAAGGATAAGTAAACCACATGGAAATATGTAGCGAATTTTGATTGTTTTATTTTCATTCTTAAAAACTCAATTTCATTGAAATTCTCTCGTAATTTTTTCATTTGAAATATTTTCAATTGATGTTTCTTTTTTAGAAACTTTCAAATCAATTTTTATACAAATTGAAGATACTTTTATTCATCGTATTTATTATTTACGAAATGAAAAAAATAAAAAAATGAAGAGAGAAGATCTGAAAAAAACCAAAAAAAAAAAACAAAACAAAACAAAAATTGTTTCCTATTAAAATATTCTAATAAGAAAAATAAATATGAAATTTTTTCGTTGGGAAACACACAGATAGAGATAAGTAAATCGAAGAAAGCAATTGAAGGATTTTTGCAAACTCAAAGAAATATGTCTCGTACATTCCTACTTCGATGGGATCTTCTTTCCTCGTTCCTTTTTCTATTCTCCCGAATAACGTCGCTTTCACGGGTTTTACATTTTTGTTAGGGGCAAAAGCTTGACTCCCCTTCTACAGGGCTAGGAGTGGAAAACGCTGGCGCAGCCACATGTCAGATTTTTCTCTATTTCTTTCTTTCTTTCTCTCTTTTTTTCCTTCTTTCTCTTTCACATATACATATATATTTTCTTCAAAAGAGAGAGAAAGAGAGAGAGAGAGTGAGAGAGAACGACGAAACGCCTTGAGGGAAGGAAAAAAAAAAAAAGAGAAAAGTACCGCTGCTGGCGACACTGAGAATCGTAAAGCTCGGTGAATTTGAATGAAATAAATCCGAAGGGATGAAAACTTTTGCAGTTATATTCTTTTCTCAGATTAGAGGAATTAGAAATGTGAAACGAAAGAACAAGAAAACAACTGAAAATTGAAAGAATTTAAATAAATAAATAAAGAAATAATGACAATAAAAAGAAAGAGAGAGAGATCGTGCTTTATTATTAGTTTAAGGAATCATAAGACAAGAGACATACCTCTGCGAATGGCAGCGGGACTGGGGGTGGCAAGAACGAGAAAAACAAGAACGAACAACCCCCAGCCCCAATTCCTCGAAAGCATAGTTGTTGTCATCGTTCGATAGAGCGACCGCTGCCGGTGAGATTGTCAATCCACCTGCGGTTCTCCTTCTTCTTGCACCTTCATTTGCCTTCCTCCACCTGAGTACATAATGCAATATGGTTACAACCCTTACTTTGTTACCCTCCTTCTCTCTCTCTCTCTCTCTCTCTGTCGTTCGTCTTCTCCCTGTCCCTCTCCCTCTCTTGTTCACTCTCTCTCTCTCTCTCTCTCTCTCTCTCTCTCTCTCTCTCTTTATATTTGTATATACATGTGTATACAAGTTTCTTTGCGATCTACGACAAACACGCTTTTACGATCCCTTTCATCTCTTTTGTATACAGTGTCATGTAACTTATTACAAGCTGGGTATCACGATAACTGTACGAGAGACATCAAAGTAGAAAGTAACTTTCCAGCTTGTTGTTAGTTATATCATCTTTTTTATGAGATAATAATCATTCATAATCGGTTGCGTAATTAAAGAAATAGAACTACTACTGTAACAATGATTCTTAAATATCAAAGAAATTATTGACTTGTGAGACATTCCTTTTACCAATTTTCTTGTTCCCACAACAAAAACGTTAAAAAGTCAAACACACATAACAGTTTCTAACGAATATATTTATATATATATATATATACGTTACACAACTAAATATACAGTTGTTTTCAACGGACTAACAAATATATTTTTGTTCAGGTTTTATTCGCGTTTTTGTTATCAAAAGAAAATGAAAGAAGAACAAAAAAAAACGGGGTTATTGTAATTATGCCTCGAAGCATAATATTCTAAGAAAAACTAGAGAGAAACTCCTAATCGGCCGCCCCCCCCCACGTCTTTCATATTCCCTAAAGATTAATGGGACAACACGAAGTCGAATTTTCGGTAGGGAACGATGATATTCGTGCGTCCTACTTCGTGAAAGTGCTGATTGCGAACGGAAGAGAGTCGCGAACGGAAACTCGTGCCGTCTAGTTAGGAGGAACGTTGAAAATAAAAGGAGGCCAGAGAGTCGTCGGGGTTCTGCACGAGTGGATGGATTACGTGGAAGCCTCGAGAGTCCCCCCTTC